ATGGTAAGTGGCAGCAGGTGTGCAGCTCCAGGTTCACGCCCTCCAGAAGGTCCCAGGATGCCCCCTGGTGGAGAAACTAGAGACCCCCCAACCAGCCTTCCCCAGATCCTAACAGGCTCAGTTTAACCTGAGCAAACAAAAACCTGGGCAGTAGCATCATGGGTCAGTCCTTGGCAAAGGGATGGTGTAAACATACATCTATTTTAGCATCGAAAACACAAAGTATCAATAATATTTTATCATTGTCAGGTTCACTGATTTTAAAACTTTTTTTATGAAGTAATGTAAATAATAAATGATTTTCTGAGGGGCGTTGTAGAGATCAGGCTCTGCAGGTCTTTTTGTCCTTCAGCATCCCTTCCTCTTCAGTCAAGTCTGGTGATGCTGTAAAGACTCGCGCTCCGGTATTTTTCCACTCGCTGCCTCATCACTCAGCCCCTCCCGTCGCTGAAAATATCTCACTCACGCGGTCTAATATTGATGGCGATTTCATCGATGCCTCATCTGTCACTCGGTGCTACCTAATCAAAAACTGTTACCACCCCAAAAAAAACTGCTTAAAGGAAAGATTGGCATTGATGTCAACATTTGGATTGTATTGAAACTTAAATATCTTCACTTTGTCCACGTCTCTGAAGGTGAGTAGCCTACATTTACTCTGTTACTTTAATAACTTTCTGATAAATATTTACTTCTTAGAGTAGTTTTACTGTACCATGCTTTTAATTTTTACTTAAGCATGAAGTAAAAATTATTTGATATAATAATAATAAGTAAATATAACCTCCCACATTGGAGGCAGAACATGCCAGGTGCATTCTGGGTAAAGCTTGTCACCAACATCATCATCAGTCACTTGGCAACAAATGGCAAACTAGCTAGAGCTACGGAACGTTAACATGTTTTGAATTTGCGTTGTTTCATCATTAGTGACCAGTAGCCTGATGTTTCTGTTCTCTTGGTTTGTTGTACTTCATGTCAGATGGATTTCACATGGATTTCAGAATGATTTCAGAATCTCTGGTGATGAAACTTGTTAGCTCCGCTGTTGCAGGCATATCTATGTTGTAAAGTTAAATTATCATGAGCTTTATTATTTGGGCCTGGTTAATAAACCACATGACGTCAGACAACATCCGTTTTGACTAGAAGCAGTGTATCTTCAGTTCCGGTGTGTGTAGTTAACGCTGTTTCTGGACTCTAAAGCAGCTGCCACAAATACGATTTGAAGATATATCACTATTTGCAAACAGTTTTTCTTCATCAACATAATCTAAACTGGACAAATTCCTCGCTGACTGATACCAGTTTGACTACGAAGGTACGTGTTTTGGTTTTTTCTAGCTGTTAGTTGATATGCTAGGATAGCAATAGTAATTTGTTAGTTGGCTAACATTACGGAGCCTTTCTGTTTTGGAAATAGAACGTATTTAGGCTCCAATCTTAATCAGATTTGTATAGTATAGACTGGGGTTGCCACCTGTCACGTAAAATGCATGATCGTACTAAACCCTCCTCACTTACGCTAGTTTCAAGTCCAAAACTTAACAGTTATGTCAAACACCCGCTGCTCCATCACGTCCTGAGAAGTCAAACTCTTGCTACGATAGAGACATGAGTAGGAAGATGCTGTTTTAGATAGATAGATAGATAGATAGATAGATAGATAGATAGATAAACGTTTCATTTCTCCAATGACTATTTATCAAATGCTATGATTAGAAGGTTAAGTTTATTTTACTTTGTTTTACTGTGGTAGACTTGGCAGTAGAAAATTGATAACATAGGAGAATAACAACTTTATAACCCTTTTAACAGGTTACACTTGATTCTGCTGTGGTGCCTGTCGAAACAAAGTGCATGAAGTTTGTGCTCAGCTGGGAAAGCTGTGGATCACATGGTGGGACTTCTGCTTCAAACTGCTCACTACAGTATACCACTGCCTCTGCCATGCACCAGTTCACTGCAGACTGGCACAAGACCATCCCAGATATGGTAGGTTGTCAGGTAGGCTACTGTTGAGAAAGATGGACAACAAAACAAAAGGAGAAATTATGAATCACATCAGACTATGTAAATTATTTGGCAGATGGTGCTTAAGTCAATATTTAAAATGCTTTTCTAAACAACAGTGTTGGAAGATGTCAGTGATTTTAGTGAAACATTTAACAATACAGCACTGCCACAGTGTACATGTATGTTTCCCAACTGTGGCTAAAGCTGCTGCTAACTGGTTTACTCTCCGATCAGAGGCTGGTTCCTTTAAATACAGTTGGAGAATGATGAATTGACAATGACTAATAACGGCTATCTAACACTTAAATACTGTTTTATTAACGTTGATACAGAAAGTGAACCTCTAAACGTTACAGCACTGACAGACAGCGGTGTATATATTTTCCCAATTGTGGCTAAAGCTGCTGCTAGCTGGTTTACACTCCCATCGGAGGCTGTTTATTATATACATAGTTAGAGAATGGTGAATTGACAATGAGTAATAATGGCTATCTAAAACTTAAATGCTGTTGTTATTAACCTTACCTTTTATTATATCCTTAAGATAATGAGTATCCGTGAATTTTTTAGTCAGGTTTCCTGAGGCAAAATCACACCGGAAGTAAAGATACACGACTTCGAGTTATGGCGGCCATTGTCTAACGTCACTGTGAAAAGGGTCTATTAGCCCCGCCCCCTGGCCGACGCCGGTGTTCTGTCAGATCAGCATACATTGTCAGATAGTGATACGCTTAGCTCAGACATGTATACGTTGTCATTACCATATGATTTTATTTAATCAGCAACATAGAATCATGACGTAGATCATCATACACTTTGTTATGAACAGCTGTATGACATCCTGATTTAGCGGTTAAGTAGATTAATGAGTTTTACACGGGTGTGTGTTGTAGTTGGCTGCAGCTGCAGCCAGACCTGCTTTAAATACACTTTGAAACCACGACAACGCATATTTATCTAGTTATCATATTATGTCATATTATAAACAATTTAATGACTTACTTTCGTCATAACTTGTTGCATATGCTGAACTGACAACTCCACTGACGGTCGGACTTCTTAATGCGCATGCGCGGGCATGCGTACTAACTGCATCTATGCTATCCTGACAGCGTGGGGCTATCTGATAGAACACCGGCTTGTTCCGCTACTGCGTCACATGTTTACCTGAGGAGCGGAGGCAGCAGTATGGCGTCTTGTCTGCAGCTTATTATAACAAGGTAAGTTCAATGTTAAAATGATCATGTTTTTGACTATTTTTTATGGAGGCATTATTTTTCCGTTTACACAAGAGTATCAATTCACATACATAGTTTGCTTAACGTACGTTTATTTGTTTGGATATCACGGTATATACGACTGTTTATTATCTTAACCGAACATTAAAACTGTCAGGAAAATCTGGAGGCCATTTGAGTTAACATTATGTAGCTGCGGAGTTGTTTTCTTTAAGTTTTTGGCTGTAGACTGCAAAATGGGGGAGTGGCTGTGCTGGACCGTTGGCTTGATCTATGCCACAGGTGTTTAACTCCAGTCCTGGAGGGCCACTGTCCTGCAACATTTAGATGTGCCGCTGCTGCACTACACCTGAATACAATAATTAGGTGATTAGCAGGACTCTGGAGAACATATCTCCACAATGAGAAGGCAATTAAGCCATTTGACTCTGGTGTTTTGTACCTGTGGCACATCTAAAAACAGCCAAAATGTTTTTTCTTTGTCAGTGTGTCATGTTGGTGACTGAAGTCTGTTATGATGACTTCAACACATTTCTTCAGGCAGGTTGGCACTACGTTTGCCTCAGTCCTTGCACCACAAGGGTTAAGTTCTACGGATAAAAAAAACATCACTTTTCAGAGAGAGAAAATCAACCACTGACCACTAGAGGTCGTCATTGGGAAGAGAATAGCTTACTGTGTAACAATACTACCGTCTTAATAATAATCAATTTTATTTAAAATGACCATTATAAATCAAATTGAACTCTAGGAGGGTAAGCTGATGAAGGCAAGCTACAAAGGCGAGGCTGCAATTTAACGCGACGCAAGCAGGCGAGGCGGTTGCCTAAGGAGTCAGGACATAAACAATGAAGGCTGGAATACCTGAAATCGAGCTGGCGATCCACTGCAGGAAAGTGAACTCCTACCGCCGTTGTCACTATCACCCTTCTCTTCCTCTGGCATACTCCCATATCAAGTGTCATATCAAGTGTCACTTGTTATGACACGGTAACGCTGTCATATCAAGTGCAGCTACCTTTTGGGGTAAATGAAGATCTGTATTTAGACTTTTGGAGATCTGAAAAATATTAGCTTTATCTAGACCTTTTTCAGCCTTAGACACCATGACAACTAAACTATTACTTTAGTTGTCACCACAGTTTTAGAAAGGATTAATCCATCCTTAATTAGCAGATGTAAACCAAGGCATTGGTTTACAAGGTGCTAAACCAATGCAGATGTAGCCCTAACCCTCATGCACGTTGACATGTGGCATGAGGGTTAGTGGAATTGAACCCACAGCTTTTTGCCTGCAAGACAAGAACTCTCTCCACAGTCATCCATCTGCTTTTAACCCAGACAGTCTGGACAATTTTGTTGATGCTAATGATAATGAAGGCAATGATAAATCTTCCTCAAACACTAGATATTTATGGAGTACCACAGGGTCTAGTACTTGGGCCCATTTGGTAAATATACTTCCACTGTAGAAAACCAAATTGTTTGGATCTGGTATTGAACAACTGAACAGCAGCAATATTTATGAAGTTTATTCTCAAAGGATTTAGTGGCGGGTCAGATTAAGAGGCCGTCTTCCTCTTTGAGACTGAGCTTTAGAAGAGAATCACAGTAGCTAATCTCCACTTAACATATTTCCTTCAAATATATTAGGTTACACAGGCCTAATTCCTATTGTTGTGCTGACAATGCTCAGTTATATTTATTCATACAGACTTGATGAATCCAATCAGTTTATACAGTTTTCATCTCTGTTTCAGAGATAAAAGACCAATACAGACCAAATATCACGTTAAGGTGCAAACATCAAATCTAGACCAATACCAGGGTATTTATCTCCAACTTTATATAGAGGACAACATAGAAGACAGAGGGTCAAGGTTTAAGGTCATAGTTCATTTTATTGGGACATTATTTACATCATGTACATAGTGTTTCATTGAAACAAGAGTGTAGCACTGACAGGCAGGGTCCTTTCTGTGTTTGACCAAAGAAAACTGCTGATTTGTGTCTGTCTTCAGGGGCTTAAACTTTTTTAAAGTGGCTCCACTCGTGACCTTTAACCTCTGAATCCATCCAGGATGAATATTCAGTGTTTCTAAAGAAATGAACAGATAAAGCTCTGTGGTTCTGAACAAACTCTTCACAATATGACCTGATTTGGTTTTTGAGCTCCATGAAATTGTTCAAACAAAAATCTTTAAAAACAAAAAGATATATATATACATTCACATACATATGTACATATAACATTGTATAAATATATTAAAAATAGTTTAAATTACATTTCTTTAACAGCCTTCCATAAATAGATGACACAGTTTTTCTCGATGTTTTAGTGTTGGAAGCACAGAGCACTCTCTGATGAACGGTTCTTGACTCGGTTGGGAATTGGATCCATGCTGGTTTGCCATTGTTCTTCATTGTAAAACACTGAATTGTGCTATGACACTGAACACTGAAGAATTCTGGGTATTTTCTTGGTGTTTAGGAGTGCACCTGACTTCGTACGGCTGAAGCTGTTGCGGTTTAACAAGTGTAACAAGTATATTATTACAACCACTGTATGTGGTCAAATTCAAAGCATTCTCCCATAAAGAAAAAAAACATTCTAGGTTTCCCTCCGTGGCCCCTGCTCAGGAGTTGGGGGGGCTGGATGGAAACGGAAGGCTTGGCGGCCTTCCCGAAGCAGTAGTGTCGTTGCTGCACACGCCCATCAAACAAGATCTATTGCAGACCTCCCAGTGTCTGGTTCTGTTCACAGATTCGCTAGCTGACACTATGAGCGAAATCAAAGGACCTTAGAAATACTGAACAAGGTGCCGTTTAGGTGAAAACTGACAAATGGCCTCAGCTATAAGTGCTTTTGAATATACAAAGAAGCTTCAGACACGTTTTTGGTAAAGTTGAACAAAAAAAGAAAGCGAAGGTCGAAGGAAACTAAATTGTCCGTGAAGTTTCAAGTCCCGTGGCTTCGTTTCAGTTTTTGGGAGATTCACGTACTTCGTTAAGAAGGATGTTCTCTCTGAGGTCAGAGTTCACAGCTACACTCTCCCACAAATAACACTGTACCTGAGAGGAAGCTGTGTTTGAAACTCTACAAATTTTCAGTCTGTGTTGTGAGGCCTTTTTGTTTACAGCTGTACCACAATAATGAAACAGAAAAAAAGTAAAAAGCAAAAGACTATTTCAAAAGTTACGATAAAAAGAGGGAAACGCCATCTTTGTGGTCTAGAACAGCAAAATGTACAGAGTTCAGATACATTCTCTTGGAATGGTACGGTCCATTGCTCAGAAAGCCAGAGCCGAGCATCAAGTGAGTCTTTGTGGTTTGTTTTGTTCGTCACACTGGTTTTGTTGGCTGTGTGTTTGTTGCAGTCCGACTCTGAAAGCTTCCCCCTCCGCCAGCAGAAGAGCTGGAGCTTCAGTGACCTTTGTCTTTCATAGAGTTCACGATCCAGTCGTAGATGATAAGAGACATGCAGCCAATCATGACAACAAATCCTAATATCAGGAACATCATAGCCTGGTGGAAGAAATAATTTCAGTTCATTTGAAGTTGTTACACAATATCTTGGATTGAATTTATTTAAAAAACAAAAAACAAAATGTGATTGAAATTGTGAAATGTTTAATAATGTCTTACCCCAATCTTCTTTATGGATTTCATTGACTCCTTCTTAACCAGTTTGATATAGAAAGCTGAGGGCAGGATGAAGATCAGCATTGCAGCAGCAGAGGCACCTGGAAGGAGGAATAATTGTAAAGTTAATCCCAACAGGTCAATAATACATTGTTAGAAAGTTGATGATACATATTAACATGTGCAGTTACTTACCAATAAAGCCAAAAATATCTCTGATGCTCGGGACAAAGATGACCAGAATGTTGGTTCCTGTTAGCAGGGTCAGGGGGATGATAGCGTGACGGATCCAGCTGAAGTCTTTTCCTGGGAACAGCAGGTGGCCGACTGAGGTACGAATCTGTTCAGAACCAGACAAAGATTAGCTCAATGGACTTCATAGTCTTAGTGACTGACTGGATCATTAACAGTAGACCCTCAATACTTACAGGGAAGAGCACCACAGGAACTGAGAGTGTGACAGCGGCCAGCACAGCCAGGCGAACAACCAGCAGGAGAATATCGTACTTGAAGTAGTTTGAGTAGGTGTGGAGCAGCTCAGGTCCCACATGGACTGAACAGAAATATGACAGAGATCACTCTGGTTAAATTCAGATGATATGGCTACAATCATATCATCTAATTTTCAAACATTACCATGCTAACACTTTGGAGTAAGACGTAAACTGTCTTTTGTACATTATAAACAGGATTTTTTTAAATTAATTTTCTTGTACTATCTCAAACGTTGACATATGCTGAAGCTACTGTTAATGTTTTTGAGTACATAAAACATAAATGTGGGCTAAATGTTTCACTTACAAAGGAGTGTTACTTAAAAATTAATAAAACAATAAACATACAAGTCTTTTGGGCTTTATATGTAGAATCCATATTTAATTTTTAGAATTGAATTTAAATTGCTAGCAGATTAATTAAATGAAGCCAAAATTGGGCTGCTAAAGAGAAGCTTTACATCCAAGTCTCTGTTAACATGTATATGCTAACATTTAGCTACAGGAGCATAAAACTACCTTCTTGCAGCTCTCTGAATAGTACCAACAAAGTTAAAAAAATAAATAAAAATAAATAAAAAACAAGATTGAATATTGGTTTGATATTTCTAAATTCTAAAACTTCAACCATCTAATAAAACATCAATGTTTTGCTTTTCCATCTCTACACCTTTAATGCTCAGGATCAAATTGACAAATTAGCAGATATGATACAAACAAAATTACAATTAATGTCAAACATAACTGCTAATTGTTTGTGCTTTTTAGAGATTAAATGCTAAGCTAGCTATGGCAAAGCTGTGCTACTAGCTGCAAAAATAAGTTGATTTTGAATTACATTCAGGGTTTGTCATTATAATTCAGACTAAAACTGAATACAGTCATATATTAGCAATGCAATTTATGTTTTTCTTACATCTCCTTTTATCACCCTTGCCTGCTTAGACTGTTGTGTATAATGTCAAAGGACGATTTACAAGTCCTTATGTAACTGTTGTAATGTTCCAGAAAACATTTCTAGCTGGGCTGTTTTTTTGTTTTGTTTTGTTTTTTTTTTGTATATTTGAAGTCAAACAGGAACATGCTGGCACCAGGTGCATCAGGTGGTGTTTTCACACTGTTGTGTAACCAGCGTTGAATCAACACATTAGGATTTTTAATTGAAGTCCTCTTTACACTGCAAACCACAATTACTAAAACATTTCAAATTTAAGGTAAATGACCCGTGAACCCATGAAGTGAGAATTTTGTACAAGACTGGATAATTTGAAAGAAAACATTTATTTTATTTTTTTTTTTATTTATTTGTCAATGGACAGGTTAAATTTGTCAACATTATACAATATAAATGTGTGGATGTTAGCTAAAGTTAGCACATTTTTACTTGCAGCCCCATTGAAGTTGTTAAAGCCAGCCTTAAGCTAATAATTATATTATTTATTTATGTTTTACAATAAGTGCATCTAAATATGCTACACTGTAGTTTTTAAATCTTGCCCAACTTACTGTTGAAGGTGAGGTATCCAAAGAGGGCGGCCAGCAGGTACATGATGAACATGGCCAGGAAGGAAACGTTGGCCACATTCTGCATCTTTCGGCGTGAGCGGCTGTTCAGGGAAGGAGAGTTTTATTTACCAGACCAAACTTTAAAGAAATATAACATTGGTTTAGTTTAAACCTTATAGAAAGTTTGAGTTAAATCCATGCAGCAGCACTTACTCTTTGAGCTCATCATACATGGGTAGGATAGTAGGATGGCACACNACGTGACAACAGTTTAAAGATTCATAAGATAGGCCTCACATCTGAGGTCCCTAAACTACGGCCCGCGGGCCTCCACATTTGGTCCGGCCCCCTGAACAATACCAGAGAGCATTCAGATTTGTTTTTTCATTTATTGTACATTCCGACATTCCGATTTATATGTGGATTTTTCTTCAACCACCAGGGGGCTCTTTAGCAGGAAGTGTGTCCTGTAAACTGTGGGTGTTTTGTTTTGCATGGCGCATTGCTGCCATCTGTTGGACTTTTAGGGAACTGCTTGACTTTCATGTTATTTAATCAGTACGGATGTTTGCTAGCGGTAGAGCAGATGAACACACGTGTCTGTTATGAACGCCGCATTCCAAGTTGAATTCTTCGAAGCGATGCCTGTAAGTAGCAGCTTATACTTCCAAACTTGCCTTTATGTCCCAGTGACCGTTTCACTCATGGTTTTTGCCCATGTGCTTTCTGGGTAAAAATCAATCTAGAAACGCTCCCTAGCTGCTGCTGGTCACGCCCCCCAACTCAACGTTTATGTGACGTGAAAATGGCTGCAAACTACGACGGCAATTGCACATAGAAAAAAGGCGAGTTGAATTTACGCTAAAAAATCTAAAATTTTCTATAAAAAAACCCCAATGGAATTTCTGAGTTTGAAAATCAAAAATTTGCTAGAAATTTTTTTTTTTAAATTTTAGATTAATCTCAGAAATTTCCTAGATAAAAAAAAAGAAAAAAATCAACAACAAAACACTTGTCTTTTCCAGCAGTCATTGTGCAGTGCATAGTAAAAACCAGCTGCACAAATGTTCTGGAACTCATCTTGGGTTGCTAGGTAACAAGCTGGGCTTCACTGGGGTTGCTAGGTAACAGAGCAGCGTCTGTCGAATGTTACTTATTTTAAAAAAAGCTTGACTTCCAGACACAGAAAACATGGACAAAAAAACGACTCAGTACTTTTTTTTCAGCGCTTGCTCTGGTTTTAGAAGCAGAATGTGAATTTAGCATAACAGTTCTGACCTGATTTGACCTGACTTTTATCGCAATTCTTTAGTAGTGTTTGATTTTAGTTTTTTCAGTCTACTAAAATTACAATGAAGGAGCTGGAAAGAGCAAACTGCAACAGAAGTTGCAGTTTGCTCAGTAAAATAATCTGTTTATTTTACTGTATTCTTACTCTTAACTTTATTTGGGTTTAAGCTACAAAACCCTGAAAATGTAATTTATGACGCTAATGCCAATGTTCTATAATATTTTATAAAATGATAGATTTATTTTCCACTTTGCTTATTAACTGGACTATAATTTAGGTCACACACTAAATAAGGTCTAAAAGACTGAAAGAAATTATATTACTGGATTTAAAACAACTTAAAAAATAAAAGAAGAAATATAAAATTTTGGTTATAATATAAGACTTGCACCACTAAAACTTAGAAAAATCTGTTTCCAAGAAACAATTTATACATAATTCAGGTTTTTAATTAGTAATGCAGACCATCTGTTGTAAAACTGAGCTTAGACGAGCAGCTCTATAGTCTGTGGGCATCAGTAAGTCAATCCTGTTTTATTTTGACAAAATACTTTTAAACTTTTTCACTTTCAATATTCTAATTTTCTGAGCTGTACTTACATCTGTACACAGACAACAAAGCACCAATTAAAGTCAGGTTTAATTTCACCAAACAGCAGTTTTGGCGGATGCAAGGCATGCGATTTTTCCTGCATTACTGCATTGTGAGGTGCCAAGGATTATAAATTTCAGCCTGAATCGCAGCATGGAAACAGATGTCACCCTTCGTTCAAGTCAGCAAGTTGTCACTGATCATATCGATCAAACGAGGGAACGTTGCACAGATGACAAACTTTGATGACTTTGATTTAGTTTATGTTTCAGGTTAATTGAAAATGAGTTACAGAGCAAATGGAATCGGATATCTATTATGTCACCACTTTATGAGGCAGAAACTCTCGCATTTAAACATTCAAACCATCACTTTAGTCAGTATATCTTCATTTTTCCAGGCTTCATAAGTTAAATGGAAATAATATAAATGCTGGAAATCAGAAAGCCACACTGTAAAATTGTGTTTACTTTGACATTAGCGGAATATTTAAAGTTCTGCTTAGGCACATTTTGCGCTACTGGTGCTGAACCCCACATGAACTGACAATAGTTTCCATTTGTTGTGTAATTGTGCAACTTGATATTACGGAAATAAATTTGCTTAATGGAAAAACCCTAATTAAAGTAAAAGTATGTTTTTCAGTAGAAGGTTTTTTGCTAAATAGATGTATTTTGTAGAACTGCAATGGAGACACTTTTCCGGTGTTCTGTCAGATCAGCATACGTTGTCAGATAGTCGTACGCTTAGCTCAGACATGTATACGCTGTCATTACCATATGATTTTATTTAATCAGCAACATAGAATCATGACGTAGATCATCATACACTTTGTTATGAACGGCTGTGTGGCATCCTGACTTAGCGGTTAAGTAGGTTAATGAGTTTTACACGGGCGTGTGTTGTAGTTGACTGCAGCTGCAGCTAGACTCTGCTTTAAATACACTTTGAAACCACGACAACGCATATTTATCTAGTTATCATATTATGTCATATTATAAACAATTTAATGACTTATTTTCGTCATAACTTGTTGCATATGCTGAACTGACAACTCCACTGATGGTCGGACTTCTTAATGCGCGATCATGCGCACTGACAACATGTATGTTATCCTGACCATAGAGATGAATATATGATGTCTATGATCCTGACAGCGTATGGCTATCTGATAGAACACCGGATCACCAGCCGGATATTACTACTGGCGAAAACAACAAAAACATAACGACAGGAAGAAGATGGACGATCAGGGCATAGCAATAATAAAGAAGTCTTCAAATTTCTTAGAACTTTACTTCAACTAAACTTCTACTGCATATTTATTCATAATGAACCAAAGCAGCTGAAATTATGAGCTTGTTTGAAAACTATTCCAGTATTTTGTGGTGGATATGAGACATTAATGGTACTTTTGATATTTTGAAAATAATTTGATGTAAATAATAAATGACAAACTTGTTTAAAGATTTAACCTCAGTTAGCCTTAATAGCCAGAGCTGAAACCCAATTTTACACCATAAAGCTCATGTTAGCTACCATTTCGCTGGCGAACTTAAATACAGTAATATCCCATTCATAACATGCAAATATGTGTTGATCTTACTTGTGAAAAGTTATCACCCAAGCCCTCACGTCAATAATCAGTCGATTTGAACAAAAAATATCCCCGCAGTGCTGCTGTTTTGGACCGCTCCAAGATGGCGGCGGTGTTTCTCTTCCTCTTTCTTATGTCTATGGGTGATGGCGCAGCATGTTTTTAATGACATATCTAGTGAACAAGCTTATTTTAATTTTGTTTCTTATTTAATACAAACACCGTAATTGCGAAATCATCCTTTGTCTTTTACATTTGTAGAATATTTACAAAGTTTTCAGCTAGTAGTGGCATCGGAAAAGCCACTAGCTGCCATTACCACGATTTGAGCTCGCTGGGTCTCAAAGTTTTGCGCACATTTGTAATGGAAACGCAACTACACAGTGCTTACCAACTGGTTTTGAACCATGCATGAACTCTTGCGACATTTTCTGCGTGAATCAGATCTGAGACACGAATGACGTGAACATGTCCCGCCTCGGATCAGCCCTGTGGTCACCTTCTCACCCGGATGATTCACACTTGTGGTATGGCCATGTGTTAGGAAGCTAGTGCACAGTCTACATGCCTGCTGGGTTCTTGCCATTTCTCAAACACACACACACACACACACGCACACACACACGTATACAGACTGCACATATAAGGAGTTGGGCTTCTCTTAATGGGAATTATGACCATATTTAGCTCTGCCTGCTGACTTGTTTGTCTTGGCCAAAAAGACCCTCTAACAAGTGGTCTCACTCCCTGAAAGTTTTACAAAAACTGCGTAAACTGAGACAAACACCAACCCGGTCGCCCAAGTAACCCTGCCTCTGTTAGTGCAATCCGATCCAGATGTGCCCAGATGTGCTACATCTTGCCATTCACCCCCTCCTGTTGCTTGAGAAGCAAAAGTGCCCGATGACTTCACATAAAAAAAGAAAAAAGCAAATGGCGAATGGGCGGCAGAGAGAAAAACCTTCTCCTTTTTCCTCAAACTATGTGGCTTGCTGAAATGGAAGAGTTGCTCTGGGCTATTTCTAACACAGAAAGCTGTCTCCCTAAACATGTTTTCAAGAAAAAAACCAACAATAACTAGAAATGAAAGATCCCTTTATGAATTTAAACAGAGCAACGCTCTGTTTTTCCTCTGCATCCACAGCTTGTCAGAGGTAATGCATGGAGAGGACAGTTGCAGATCATTTAAAATCTAATTTACAAAGACTTTATTGAGTTAGCAGGCCGTGCATAAAAAAACTCAGTAGCGGTCAGGCAGATGTGGAGTAATTTATTGGGCTCACGTTGTGTGTGGCTTTCAGAGCTTTGACTCTTCCACAGGTTGTCACTTTGCAACCATGAGCTAAAATGTATTTCAGCAGGATTCTCGCATCTTACAGGTAAAAATGCGAAAATATTTGTTAGAGAACAAATGGGAACACAGCAGACAGGTCAGAGAGAAAGTTGTGCAGAAGTTTAAAGCAGGTTTCCATTCCAAGAACATTTCATTATCTGATCATGAACAGAGGATTAAGCAGAGAAGCAGCCGCCAGTGGTAACTCTGGAGGAGCTGCAGAGATGCTCGGCTTGGGTACAGGAAGCCAACAGATCAACTTTTTATTGTCCACTCCATAGATGCATGTAATGATAATTTTAGTAACCGATTAATCAATTATTCTGATGATAAATCAAATATTTTGATGATAATCGAATATTTTTGACAATTAATTGATTGTTTTGTTGATTGATTGGATGAAAAAAATTCAGTTAACCACGTTCATACAATAGAAATGAATTAAAACTGATTAATTCTGATGATTAATCAAATATTTTGACGATTAATCTATTATTCTGATGATTAATCTGATTTAAAAACTTCAGTTAACCAGTTAACTTAGCTATATTTCTTTTGCAATAGAAATTCAATAAAATATGAAAATAAGCAAATAATCAACTTCATTTTTTTAAGTAAGAAAAATGTTTTATTGCCTAAAACATAATAAGAGCATTCTTTGGCATAGGTTGATTATTTAAGGACAACATGTTCAACCCTTCCTGATTTATTTGATATCCATACAGCATAGGGCTAATCTGTTGATTAAATTTTTGATTAACTGACAAATTATTGAATAGAAAAAACTGCTTAATAAGACATTTTTTGTTATACAGAACTTGAACCAGATGAAGCTAACCCTGCCACTTGAGGAGTTCAGGAAAATATTTACTGACAAATAAGGTTTTATCTTAAATGCAAAATGTATAAATTTTTTTGTACAGTTTTGACTCAATTACTGCTCTGAATATGTTGTTCTTTCAGAACAAGGCCATTTTCAGCCCACATATTCCAATTAAATCTAATCTATTCACGATTAATCGTGATTAATCATGGTTAATCACACTGGGGCTTCAGTCTTAGTTATTTTAGTTTATTAAAATTACCATAAGACAACTTTAAAGAGCAAAATTAAGTGTTCATAACCTGTTTACTATATTTCTCTTCCCAAAACAACTTTAATAATTAATCGATTATTAAATTACTTACAATCATTTCAATAATAGATTTATCATGACTAATTCAATTAATTGATTCAGCCCTAGTTTGATCTGTTATTTTAGTCTATTGAAATTACCATAAGGGAATTCTAAATAGCAAAATGCAACAGAAGTGTTTATCATCTGTTTATTTTATTGTATTTTTACATGTTTAATCAATTACTCAATTATTTCAAATAATTAAACACGATTAATCAATTAATCATTCAAATACATGATAAATCTTGACTTGAGATGTACTAAAATAAAATGTTTTGACCTACATACTAAAAGCTGTTTGTGGAGGAAACACTTAAAATCCATCCAAACCATAAAACATGGTGGTGGCGGCTTCATTATGTGATGGATAAAATGGATCTAAGTAACTATAAGGTAATAGCTGAAAGGGAAAAAAATTAGGCTTAGTTTCCAAATTAAAAAAATAAAATTGGGAAGATGTCTGAAAAGTGTGGCATGCATTTGCATACAGCCTCATCTACAAAAACTTGACTTAATCGAAAGTCAGTCTACAGATTTTTAACTCATTGGGCCAAACGTACAATTTTCCTCCAGCGTCACAATTAAACAAACAGTGAAGAAGTTGAAGAGGAATAAATAACATTTTGCATGCCTTTCTACTGAAATGGGTTATTTTTAAGCCTTCTGCATGTCTGCACTCTGACTGCCAGGATCAACAGAGGCCAAATTTCCTCTGTTTGGGCAGACCGCCCCTTCCCACAGATTCCCTTCAAGATATTCCAGTTACAACAAACGAAGATCTGCTGCTACAGTACTCACCCAAATCCTCCATGATCTGATCACAGCCGGCCGCTTTTCGCTCTAAAACCAGAACATTTATGACTGATGGCCGCGCTTTTGTCTCCCTCGGTCCTGAATAACTTCTTGGACACCGTTATCCGCTAAGAAGCAGCAAGAAGAGGAGGAGAAGGAGGAGGAGGAAGAGGGAGGGCGTCCCGTTTCTTTTTCCAACTCTCTTCCTGTCCAATGCCTACCAGCAGACTTTCAGACCGGAGGAGGCGTAGTTAAATAAATGTGGCCACAAACCCGCATTCCCCCCTCCGGCGCTCGCAAGAAAGACGTAATCCTGGACATTCCCGGTCCATATTTGGGATAGAAAACTACGGATTGAGAGGGAGATAGACAGCGGCGGGATGGACCAATGCTGCGACCAAGTGTTATTACTGACGCTACTGCGTCCTTCACATGCAACATCCCTTTTTTAAACATCCACGTTGGGTAAAACCTTCTGTTCTGTGAAAATAAATACAAACTGATGTCAAAATGTATTTATTTACGTTTTTGAAAATTAAATTAGTGATGTTTTTCTGCCTTTTGTGGGAGCGCAGGGAGTGATTTCCATGGCAACCGGCTGAAAACTATTGTTCTGCCATTGTAAATAAAAGGAGGAGGTAATTTAAAAAACTCAGAAATTTTGATATTAATCTCAGAAATTTTCTTGAAAAAACGTGAAATTTTCCAAGCTTGAAAAGTAGACAAAGTGCTACAAAAAATAACTTTTTATATTAATCTCAACACTCATCCTTTTCTTAACCATCTAAAATGGCCCTAATACTGACTAAGCTGTGTATTTTTTTTTGTTGCTTTATCAAATGTAGCTTTATCAAGAAAAAAGTCAATTTGGTATAATACTTAATGAAATATTAAGGCTATTTAATATTCTATCTGAATTAAGGTAATGTTTTCCTATCATTCTGGCTTTTATAAATTAAATATTTCTTTTGAATTCTAACTTGTTAATGACATTTATAATCTGTTTTTTTCATTTTGAAATCCAATTGTTCTGTAGTGAAGTACATTTTGAAGCTTTATTGAAAAAACACATGATGACAATAAAGGGAAAATTTTCTTTAACCACTTCAGTGGTTCTCAAAGATTTTAGGACAGATATGAGAGCAGAAAATTTTCCATGTACATCCACATCAACATGCGTTGTGAAACAGAACCACACCAAGACTTGAACTTTTAATTTTATTTGCTAAGTTATTTCATAAAAACATTTTTTTGCCAATAACTTAATGTTTTTGGTGACTTGAAAATGATCAATTTCAAAAACCCTCGGAATGTAACGTCACAAATTAGGCTCTGGGTCGTTGCTTAGCAACCCCAGCAAAGCCTAGCCCGTCACCTAGCAACCCAAGCTGCGTAACACCACCTTTGGTTTTACTGCCGTGTTCCGTACAACGTGCTGCTGGAAAACACGAGTGTTTTTGTTGTTTACTTACCATCCACAGTCCACTTGCTGCATTCGTCTTGCTTCTGCTTTTCAGAGATGATCGGTTGTATAATTACGCATCTGTTTTAAAGCCATTTTTCACGTGTGAGTGTAAACATTAGGGGGGCGTGGCCAGCAGCAGCTTATTTGGATTTAAAGTGACAGAGGCCCTAAAACAGCTCAAAATAGGCAGAACTGACCAGACTGAAATCTCATTATATAAAATAATTTTGTGCAAAGAAAGTAAGCATGTTTTGTGTCACATTTGTATGTCTTTTTGCTGCAAGAGATCAGTGCTAACTTTTAATTCAAGCCCAAATCAAATGAATTTACAACAGGTGGACTCCATTTATGTTGTAGAAACATCTCAATTTTAAGCTTCATAACTGTGAATAGTTACATAAATGTGATTTCTTGGTTTTGTATTCTTTCCATATTGTCATAATTGGGTATTAATGAGGAAAGTATGAATTTAACATACTTTCCTCATGTATGTTTCCACAGCAAAATGTGGAAAAAGTGAAGAGCTGTGAATACTTTCTGTTTGGCCTGTATCTGCTTTACAGCTGCATTACACTTTGGTGCCACAACCATTTTAAAAAGACAAGAATAAAGTAATACAAATTTGACTTTATTCTTGTACAACTTTCTAGTAACATGACTTCTCATAATACTATGACTATTATTTAGAATATTCAGACTATTCTCGTGCAATTTCAACTTTATTCTTGTAATTTTATGATAATTTTATCCCCCCCCCCTTCGTTTAGCCATAATGCTGTCATACATAATAAACTAAACGCATGACATTTAATGAAACAAAGTAGTTTGATTTCTGTCAAAAACAGATAAAGTGATTATATTTGAAACAAAAAGTGGTTTTCTAGGTTTGAATGATTAAAAACAAAACAAGTGATCCACATTTTCTAGATTTTTTTTGTTTGTTTTCAGCAACACAAACAGGATTTAGCCAAGTTCAATAAATGGGCGTTTCCTAATACCATTAAAATAAAAGCAAAATAAGGGTTGATAAAAATGAATGCTTTGTGTTATAGCTAACATTTAGATTAGTTTATCTTTTTCCATCAGTAAGAATTAATTTTTCTTTAATTGTGATTGAGGGCCAGGCAAAATCTTCCCAAGACCCCCGATGGCCCCCGGGCCACACTTTGAGCACCCACTAAGTTCCTTTTGTTCCACTGACTGGACAAATGTTTTGCCAGGAAAAAACAAAGACTTTTTTTTCCCCACAAACGACTATCTTCCTGTAAACAACCTGACCATCATGTGACGTAAATAAAAATCTGATAGGCAGAGGAATGAAAAAAACAAAACAGGAAAAACTTTTTAATTAAGCGAGCTTACAGTTACAAGCTTTGTTTGTGTTTGTGGGGTTAGGAGATGCCATAATAACATTGGTGACATGATGAAAGCATATATAAAAAATAAAAATTACAGAACAAAGTTCTCATTCGGTGTTTGCCGTATGTCACAGACCAAATGTGCTTTGACCAAACGCATCATCGCCTTTGGTCTCAGTGCATGAAACACAACTGACTGACGACTCACACATACTGATTAAACAAACCGTCGTTTCTAGATGTGTCAAATTGGTGATGCGGAGTAAATAGCAGTGAGTATCCGACCAAGTAAACGTCTCAGCGGTAGATCTGCAACCTTAGCTTCGAAGTTGTTCATGCAGAGTCAAATACTGGATTCTTACCCGAGCGGTTTTTATATCTAGCGCACTGCGACACACAACTACACCTTCCCAAAAATGCTAGTGATAATAATTATAGTCAACTCAAAGACGCACGCTTACATACACTCACACTTTCCAAACCAACAACTTTCTCACTCCAAATTTCGTGACGGTTGGTGCTTTCGGGTGAATTCAAGGAGCAGGGCTGCACATGGCGTGGAAACTGGAGATAAAAAGAAAGACATTGTGAAGTAATTTGGCGAAAGTGAGGAGTAGAGGGGGGTGGAGGCGGGACGCTGATGTGATGGCGTGAAGGTAACGTGGGCAGGCTCGGTTACCCCTATAATGTCCGCATTCATTAAATTAAATTACTTCTTCACTCCAGTTAAACCACACACAGCCGCTCCCGTCCTTGCCGGCACCGCCATCACTGCACCGCTTGCTCGTTGGCAGTGCTACCGGAGTCCTGAGGCTTCATCACGTCGGGGAGTTCGGGGGGGCTGGAGAAGGCCTCGATGTGCAGCTGCTCAAACATCTCATCTGCAGGGGAAGCAGAGAAACATGAGCCTCGCAGTGACAGCGGAGCTTAATCATGTCAGAGAGCTGCAGGAAAACACATCGTTCTCACAACAAGAGGAATTAGCTGGGCTGCTTAACAACAAGGTGACTGACTGGATGTTGACACCTTTCAACTGCAGAGGGAGAGAATAAAGAGCTCTGGGAGTATTTACTCTGTAAAGCTACAGTTTTAACTTACCAAAAATATGTTTTTATATATTTGCTGAAGCTGTCACCATGTCATGACACGAATTTGTGAGACAAAAAATCGAAAAAAAAAAAAAAAAAAATGTGTACATTCTTCCAGTGCTAACTAGAAGCAAACAATCAGAGCCAGGAGGCGGGTCTTAGTGCTGTCAATCATTCCTGTGTGTGCCGCGTAGCAGAGCCTGTTGTGAATGCTCAGGCTACTTAGCATAGCCACAGATGTCAGTTTTCCTGTAACTGTAAATTGTTTCTCCACCAATTACACATTCATGAGATTGATTGACAGCGCTAAGCCCCGCCTCCTGGCTCTGATTGGTTGTTCTTCGTCAGAGGTGCATTTCTTCAGATTATTTATCTCATATTAAACTGTCACAACATGGTGACAGTTTTCACAAACATGCAGAAAACATTTTTTGTAGAAGTTATAAATTACAGCTTTAACGACAAGGTGACTGATTGGATGTAAACACCTTTGAACTGCAGAGGGGGTGAATAAAGAGCTCTGGGAAACCGGAGGATTCATCCACAAGCCTGAAAACCCTTCAGGGCCTTAAATCCGAAGTAACTTTTATAAACAATGTTTTTACGTATCTGTTATAACTGTCACCATGTTTGTCATGAGACGGATAATCTGAAAAGATCGATCTCCTCCACCTTCTACTGTCTAAAAACAACTAATCAGAGCCAGGAGGAGGGGCTTCAAACTGTCAATCAACCTCATGTACGTGCTTCAAATGTGCTAATGGTGGAGAAACAACTTACCGTTACAAGAAAATCATTTATCAACCGTCATCTGGGGCCATGCTAACTAGCCTTAGGATTCATGACAGACTAGGCTGAGTGTTGCACAGAGATGATTGACAGCGCGAAGACCCGCCTCCTGGCTCTGACTGGCTGTTTCTAGTTAGCACTGAGAGAAGGCAGAGGAGCTTGAATTGTTTTCCTTTTTATGCTTTTGTCTTTAATATTTAAGTAAAAAACTTTTTTCTTTGAAAAATCTGATCTACTGCTTACGGCAATAAATTTAACTTCGTTTCTCAATGCTTGTTTTTTTATTACTAGGTTATATTTTTATGTTTTTTTGGGAACACTTTATTTGAAGGGGTGTGCATAAGACTGACATAACATCTGTCATGAACATGAAGGAGTCTTTATGAATGTTTATGACAGTTGTCATTAAGTGTCATTCGGTAAATAATGACACTTTTAATGCAAAGTTGCTCTAAAAGTTGCATTGAAAGTCCATTAAAAGTGCCAACTTTGCATTAAATTGTCATTGTTTACAAAATCATGCAAAGTTGGCACTTTTAATGGTCTTTTAATGCAACTTTGCATTAAAAGTGTCATTAATTACCGAATGACACTTAATGACAACTGTCGTAAACATTCATAAAGACTTCATGTTTATTACAGGTGTTATGTCATGTTTATGACAGTGTCATGTCAGTCTTACGCACACCCCTTCAAATAAAGTTACCGTTTTTTTCTTAAATCATATTTTGCTCTAGTTTTACACTTTCAAGAGATCCATTTATTTTGCTAACTTATCTGAGGAAATTGGACAAAATGATGTTTAAAAATCTTTTTGATGGTTTAAGTTAATGTGTATTTTTTGTTAATGTTCATATTTATTTGTACATTAAGTAGCAAATAAGTATGTTTGGATTCCACTTCTTGTTATTCTATCCAAAATATTTGTGATTCAGTAAACCAAGAGAGCACAAAATGAGACTTTAGAGTTGCTAGCTCAGAAAATACAAAGCCTTAAAAATACTAACTAGAGTAGAGAAACATATTCCTGAGCTTCAGAGGCAAACGCATCGATAAAACAATATTTACCATTTACACGGAAGGCCAGACCGACTGTAGCTGGTGCTTGAGGTCTGGCAGTCTGGTTGGTGAATCCACAGTCTCCCAGAGTTTTGCTGTCCTCTAGCAACTGATCATCCTGCAGAAAGAAAACGAAACCCATTACAAACAGGAAGCAGCGCAGGAAACCGCTCCAATAAACATGATTTCAGAACTGCGTGCTCCTGAGGTTTAAACTCACTTTGTAGAGCCGCTGGTCCTCAGGAGGTCTTTTAAGTATTCCTTCAACAATCCGCTTCAGCTCATACACGGTGGTGCATTCCTTGGCGTCTGTGAAGATTGTCGTCTTGTGACGCCGGATCATTAGGAACACGTCCTTGAAGATAATCAGCACAATCATATGTTGTTTGTAACAGTTTGTTGTTGGTCTTTGTCACATATTCTATAAAACAAAAGTTTTATAGAATGAGCCAAAAATGTAACATTATCAGTTTGATTCAGACTTTGGTTTAAACATGTTTAGTTTGTTGAGGGTGATTAAAATTTACATTTTCTTTTAAAATGCATTAAAAGAATTTAAAAAGCTCTAAGTTTTGTAGCTAAAACTGTTTTTTAAGAAATTTGTGTTCACACTTTCCATATGCTGAACACATTTAGTCAGAAAAAGGAGCTCTCACTTACTGTAATGTCCCCTTCTGAGATGGTAAAGCTCATGTTTAAGTAAGAAAAGTGTCTGGAAAATGATGATTAATACTAATCAATATTGTTATCGCCATTAAAAAGTGAGAAAAATCTTGATTTTATACTTTTCTCAACATTGTATGAACATTATTTCCTATAAATGATCTGATGTTTACAAAAGATATAAATCCCTTAACTTAATCTGATGTTTAATAATCTCAAATACGATCATTACTCGATGTACAGACTTCTTATTTTAGACCCAATTCATAAATAGGGAAGGGAATAAAACTGATTTTTGATTAATTGACCAGTAGATCACTGATCAATACGTCAAATATTGGAATATTCTTTTGTATTAGATGCTAATTTAAAAGCGGTTATCATCTTAGTAATCAAAAACAATGTAAAATCAGACTCAAAAATAAACCAAACGGTAAATGACAGCTGTGCCTTCGCTAAAACAAGCAATTCTAAATCACGGATTACATTCCAACTATAGTTTCTGTATCACATGATAGCATAGCATTTTATTTTCGATTTTCACTTCACGTGTTTTCAGTTTAACATTTGGTTTTGTTATGAACAAAGAAATCAACACAGAAGTCTTCCCAAAAAATCGCTATAAGGATTCAGTTAAGGCTGCGGACAAAACATTGATTGACAAAGAATAATACCTAGCTCTTTCAACGCACACCTAGCTGTAAGCTAGCACGTATCCAGTTTGAGTATGCCATTAAAATAAAGCCATGCCGTAAAAAGCAACGTTGGAAACTTGACAGATAAACTAGAATTGTTTTCAGCTACCCGTAGTTAGCCTAATGTTGTAGCTAACTTGTTAGCATTACACACATTAGCGACAAGATAACCAAGCTAACACAGCCAGTTTAGCTTGAACAGGCTAACAAAGCCAAAGCTAATATAGCTTTCTATAACATTAACACTTTCGTGTAAGATAATTGGTGTTAATTCCGTTAAGGTAGTTTAGGACTAATCACGTAAAATAACCGTTAAACAAAGTTACCATTTCAAGGGATCAGCTAGCTAGCCAGTTACGCCAGCCCCGACTGTACTGCACCAACGCTTGACGCTTGCGGATATTGCGCAACATACGTACAGTTACGTGGCACTACGCAACGCTGCGTAAACTGTTCAGAATTTGGCGCGAGCAGGTGATTATGAGCTGAAAGAGGACAGTACGCTCAGCTCTGGAAGGAGATACCAGCAAACAAATTATTTTCTACTGGAAGCCATCAGGAAAACTGGATTATGGTTGGTGTCGTGTGACTAATTTAATGTTGTTCACTAAACCCAGAGGTGTCAGAGGGTGGAAAGGGGGTTTGACGGGGCGGTAGTTAGCTAGCGACGTTATGTCTGCAGCTGCGTTGTTATTGTAAGCTACATGTTTTACAGATTTGACAGTTGTCCACGTTTATGACAATTGAGCAAATTTTAATCGAGAATTGTGGCGGATACAAATCACTTTTTCGTCTTTTTCTGCTGACTTCCACAGAATGTTGTTAACTCAGTGAAGTCAGTGAGTTTATTGTAATTGCTACAGTTTTATAGTGTTTGTATATTTGAAACTTGTTGATTTAGCTCATTTTTAGCCTCATTTTTGGATTTGTTTGACTCGTTTTTTAGATCACATTGGGTTTGCCAAGAGACTAATTTATCTTCTTAAATCTTTGATCACTTTATGCCTGTCATTCTCCTGTTCTTAAACAGGTTTTGCTGAAATAACAGCTTTGTTTGTAACTTAAAACATGTTAGAGATGTCATCACAATGGAACAGCAAACCACAGCTTTTTATTTAATACAGGTTTAAGTTAAAACTGCCGGACTCTTTTTCTTCTCAGTTAAATTGGCTCAGATTCAAATCTGTTTCCAGCCTCTTAATGTTTTGTTTTGTTTTAATATCTTCCAGCAAAGTTGGGTAGAAATTAGTTACATTTGATTGAGTAAAAATACTTTTAAAGGTATTTTTACTGAGGTGTACTTTTTACTTTTACTTGAGTAATCTTATTTTGAAGTATTTCTACTCCTTCTTGAATAAAATTTCTGGATTTTCTTCCCACTGAATGAAAAACAAACACGTTTTAACCAAAAATTCACCACACACAGACACACAACTGCAGTTTAGTTAAAGTTTCATAAGTTTTTTATTGAAAGAAACTGATTTGGAAAAATGTTCTTTTGCCTGATTTTGTTATTTTCTTGCTTATATGAATTATTGTCATTATCATGCTAAAATACCAACATTTCCACTTAAGTTTATATTTTGTTCCGTCTGATTATGTAATTTATAAATATTAAAAATACTTGAGTAAACTTTTCACCAAATACTTTTTTACTCAATAATTTCTTGGATGAATACTTTTTACTTTTACTTGAGTAAAAATATGTTGAAGTCGTGCTACTTTTGCTTGAGTACAACATTTGGTTCCTCTGTTTTCCAGCCGCCATCTTGATTGAACAGAGCTGAAGAAGTCCTCCCGCCATGTCGGTTGCCGTGGAAACTACGACGTCCAGGGTTCCCCGGCCCATCCCGGCGCACCTATTCCACGCAGAGCAGTCCTTCTCCCTCAAGAAGCGCAGATTTCCGTTTTCCTCGGCGTCCACGTCCAGCGCCTCCTGCTCCTCCCCTCCTCGAGGCTCCTACTGCCTCCCTCCGCTGCCGCCCTCCAAAGGATGCCCGCCGCTGAGCAGGATGTTCCCTCAGCATCAGTCGCCGTGGACGCCGCTCTCCGATTCGCTCAGTAAATCTCCCCCGCCTAGCTCTGTGTATGATCCCAGTAAGCAAACGTCCTATTTTGGTCAGTGCTTCACTAATCTGGGTCTTCTTGGGAGAGGATCCTTTGGAGAGGTCTACAAGGTGAGCAATGTTAGGATTGGTAAACATTAAGGCTAAATCGATTAATTGTGATTAATTAAATAATTAACTAAGTTAGAAACTGATTAATTTTCAGTAAACAGACTCCAAAAAAAGGGTAATCGGTTGATAGAACAACAAACTTAGAGCAGTAATTAAGCCAAAACTGTACAAAAATATTTACATTTTGCATTTAAGAGAAAATATTTTCTACCCAGATCCCCATTTTAGCTTCACCTAGTTCAAATTCAGTGAAATAGTTAAGCATCTTTATTATTCAATTATTAATCTGTCAATCCAAAATTAGGACTGAAACGATTAATCGTGATTAATCTGATTAATTAAATAATTCTCAACTAAGTTAGCTATAGATTAATTAACTGGAGTATAAATCCTCAACAATAAAAGCTGAAGTTGGAGTTTCAGAAAGAGCAGGAGCTTCTTAAAGAGGCAGAGGCCCAATTTCAAGACGTTAAAATTTCTAAGTCATATTTGAAATTTACAGCATTTTTATAACAACAGAAGGTAACATTGTGTTATAAAATTATTGGAAAACACATAATACTTCCCCTTTAAGCATTTTCTTTATTTTTGCAGGTGCAAAACAACAAAGACGGGCGATTGTATGCCGTGAAGCGCTCCGCCCAGCGCTTCAGGGGAAATGGCGAGAGGCAGCGAAGCGTCAAAGAAGCCAGGAACCACGAGCGAATTTGTCCTCACCCTCACGTTCTGGATTTTGTGGCGGCGTGGGAAGAGAGCGGCCGCCTGTACATTCAGACGGAGCTGTGCAGCACCAGCCTGCTGCTGCACGCTGAGAACAAGCCTCCCGGCCCAGGTCAGCCTTAAAACATCTTCATTCAGAAACCCAATCGTTTCTGCACCTGCTGACCGCCATTTTGTTTCTGGTTGATCCAGACGAGCCGGCGGCGTGGGGCTACCTGTGCGACCTTCTTTCTGCCCTGCAGCACCTGCACTCTCATGGTTTCGTGCATTTGGACCTCAAACCCGCCAACGTCCTGATCACGGATTCTGGGCGGCTGAAGCTGGGAGACTTCGGGCTTCTGTTTGAGGTCAACCAGACCGGCGTCGAGTCCAAAAACAGGAAGACGAAGGAGGACGTCCAGGAGGGAGACCCGCGATACATGGCGCCGGAGCTGCTGCGCGGCGAGTATGGACCTGCAGCGGATGTTTTTAGGTACGGCAGGGCAGAAATGGAGAATATTAAAGGGGACCTATTCTGCAAAACTCATATTTTGCCATTTTTTATGCTTCTATTTGGTTCTTATAAACAACTCAATTGTTTAAAAAAAACAATTATCGTATATAATTTATTGTGATACATTTCTAAGTTTTGATTTCTTGTCGTGATAAATTCCAATTAATGACGGTAAACTGTCCTCGTTTGTTCGATAAAAGCCTCAATAAATGCTAATAAATTTGAAAATAACTTGACCCTGTGCAGCTTAGTAATAGAAATCACACTTCTTCATTATAGTTGTTGACTTACCATCCAGTTATCACTTGCTGCATTCTCGTTAGTTGTACAGGAGGCTCTACTAATGGTTTTCAAAGATGAATAGTTATATACAGTTATATAAAGTTGTTGACTTACCATCCAGTTATCACTTGCTGCATTCTCGTTAGTTGTACAGAAGGATCTACTAATGCTTTTCAAAGATGTATAATTATATAGAGTTATATAGTTGTGCATCTGTTTGTTACGACGGCATATTAGGGCCATTGTAGATGGGGAAAAAAGACGAGTACATTTCCGCCATAACACTCAGAAATTGTAAGATTAATCTCAGAATCTTTCTAGAGTTGCTAGAAAAAAAAAATCAGAAATTCAGAAAAACTTGACTTTTGAAACTCGGATTTAAAAAAAAATGTCTAGAAAATTTCTGGGGGGGGTTCATAGCAAATTTGGAACTTTTCAAACTCGGAAATTTCTTTTTTTTTTTTTTTCTAGAAAAATTCTAAGATTAATTTCAAAATTTAAATTTTTTCCAGTAAATTTCTGACTTTTCAAACTCAAAAATTTTCTTGTTTTTGTTTTATAGAAAATTTTAGATTTTTCAGCAAAAATTTACTCCCTTTTTTTCTATCTACAATTGCTCTAATACAGCGTTGTACTTTGCTGCCATTTTCACACCTGAGCGCAAACATTGAACTGGGGGGCGTGGCCAACAGCAGCTTATCGGGATTTAAAGGGACAGAGCCCGAATTCTGAAGGAGCTCAAAATAGGCAGAACTGATCAGACTAAGTTCTGATTACTTACTTACACATGTTTTGTATAGATGATAAACTTATCCCAACCTGTTCACAATGCCTTAAACACTGATAGTTTAAGTTTAACAAAAACTCTTTTTTATGCTCTTAGTTTGGGTGTTTCTATTCTGGAGCTCGCCTGTAACCTGGAAGTTCCAAACGGCGGCGAAGGATGGCAGCAGCTCCGACAGGGCCACCTTCCCTCAGAGTTCACCAACGGTAACATCCGCCCTCCGTCTGCCAGTGATGAATCTGTCCGGATGAAACCAGGAGCTTTTCTTTCTGCCCGTGTTTCCAGGCCTGTCTGTTGAGCTTCAGTCCGTCCTCAGGATGATGCTGGACCCAGAACCAAACGAAAGACCAACCGTCTCTCAGCTTCTCGCTCTGCCGTGCGTCAGGAAACGCAGATGGAAAAGGCGGATTTACCTGATGGTGGTTGAGACCATGCTGACAGTGGTGTCCTTCTGCCAAGTACTGGTTCCAGTCTGCATTCTGCATCATATGTACATTTAATCACCGTAAAGGTTTTTAATGTTTGATTTCTCTTCAGTTCGTAGTGTGCTTCGGTTGCAAGCTCCTCTCCTCGGTTCGCTTGCCGTTTCTGCCTTGTTGGTCGAAGCCGGAGCCGTGTACGCCGCCGAAGGACAGCTGGGACAGAGACGTGACGCTGTCCCTCAGTTCCCTGCACAACGACCCGGGAAGTCCAGAGGACGACGGAGTCTTTCTGCATCACTCAGACCCAGAACTTTCCCCCACCTTTTCAAACAGGTACAGGATCATTAACAGGTTCAGAATAAAATCGCAAAGATACCAGAATAAAGTAATAATCATACGGGAATAAAGTCGGAATGATACGAGACGAGCCATAGCGATGCAAGAATAAAGTCGGAACAAAGTCTCAATAAAATGAAAATAAAATCGGAGCTTTGCCAACATGAAGTTGAAATAAGACAAGAAAAAAGTCGTAATAATAAGAGAATAAAGTTGTAAAATTACCAGAATGATACATATTAATTATTATTGTATTAATACCAGAATATATTCATATGTCAGTACAGTATATGCAGAAATCACTGAAGTTGTCTGTTGAATAATCTTTTCATCTTTTATTAAAGTTAACAACATTCATTCAGATATTTACTGTAGTTTTAACTAATATAAATTATCTATCTAACTCTTCTTTTTTTTGTTTTCATTTTCCCCTCAGACTTAAATCTGGACTGTCGGTAGAAAGCACATCCACTCCTCTGCCGGGTTCTCCGGTCCGCGGCCCGGTCCACTCCACCCAGTCGGTTCTGGGCGGCTGGTCGTCCTGTAGCCTGCCTCTGACTCCAACCAGCTCCCACCTGAACAACTCCTGCCACAAACTCACCCCCGACGTCAGCCCCATACACGCAGAGCGCCACCCGGGCTCCCCGTCCACAGCGTCCACCGAGCGGCGCCGCCGCGGCCGGGTCCGGGCGGAAGAGGCGGCAGCGACACCGCGGCCCAACTTTGAACCAAAGAACCTCCTCAGCCTGTTTGAGGAAACAACTCTGGAGGGACAGCCTTGAGGACATTTTTTCTTAAGCCTCTTTGGAACTACAGAGTTTATTTTACGGCGCCCCCTAATGGACAAAGTGGGGTTTATCTTATTCCCTTGCAATAAATTAGCAATTTCTCTTTTGTACACAGTCACTGTTATAACAAATGTCAATTTAAAACCGCAAATACCTTTAAAGTTCCTCAATGAAAAAGTGTTTATGCATTCTGAAGTGATTAGAACTTGATCTATTAGTTCAGGTGTGTCCAAAACCGTCTGCAAACCATCAGAGGGCCAAAATTCATTACATTAAAAATACATTACATTTGTCCTAATTTTTTTAAATCAAATCTGTTTATCTTTAGAGATCCACAGCATAAAAACGGCTTCAGACTGATGCCTTATTGCTAAAAAAAACCCAGGAAATTTCCACATTTTTGGTTTCATCAATAGTTTCTACTGGTCTTGACTCATTGGTTAGGAGCTGAACAAAATCATTTCAAGGGTCAGATGTTTTACTAACAACATATTAACATACATGGAAAAACCTTATATTGCAGCAGAAATACTTTCAGTATTCAATATTGCCAATGAAACAACCAGTAAAAAGAAACGTGTCCACCAGGGGGCGCCATATTATTTAGTGTTGGATTTTTGTGAAGCGTATTTGAAAAAGAAGGGATTCAGGTAAAAGGTCTGAACGTGTAATCAGACCTTACAGAACTTTTTTTTTTACATTTGTGTTTTTGTGCGGATAGTTTCCCCAAATGGTTTGATTTACACTGAAATAAGTTACAAGTTGCATGATAGTCTCCAGAGTAAATTTGCTTATAGTGTACTCTCTTGCAGACTAGATGTCTGCAAGAGAGTACACTGAATTTGTGATGCATGCTGTGGCTATAAAGCTTCGGAAAACATAAACTTTGTCTTGTCTGGTTTGTTCTTTTTTGTGGTTTAAATCTGAAATCAACAGAATTAAATGAATGAGTTGTGTTTTACATCATTAGCACTAGATGTCAGCCATATATTGAATGCTAGATACTGGGAGTTATGATTATATTAACTGCTGGATGAAGTTATCTTCACTAAACATTCACCTTAAACTATGTATGTCAAACTTAAGGTGTTGGAGCCAAATCTGGCCCACCATTATGTGACCTATCTACGTATGCCCCATTAGTACAACTTTTAAAAAAACATTTGTGCGTTCAAATACTGTTTTATCAATCAAATCAAAGAGCCATCTTCATCTGTATACTAGGGGTGCCATTTGTAAAGTTACACAGTAAAAAATAGCAATAATTTGATTTAATTTGGCCTGTCATACCGGCCACACATTTATAAATGTAAGAGTTCCAAACTAAATATTTAATTCACCAGCTGAATATTTATCTAGCTTTATTTAGCTATATTTAACTTTCAAGTTCAATATTTGAAAGCTAACTATTGAATTGAGCTTTCAACATCCAAAGCTAAATTTGAATTTTAGCTTCAAATGTAATTTGAAGCTAAACATGAACTAAATTTGACTTAAAAATCTGAAATATTTATTCAAATATGCAAATTCAGTATTGGAAAGCTACACAGTAGTTAGCTTTCAGTTAGGTAGTAGTCAGGAAGCTAAATATTTAGTTTACCTGGGTCGCGGCTATAAACGGTTAGCCACGCTGCATTTTGAAAATTCAAGTTTCGGAATGGGGCGGAAGCTCTTATTCTGAAAGGGAATCGAGATTTGACGTAACTTCCGGCGTGCTTTCTGGGCTCACAAAGGTGTTCCTAGGTTAGTATCATCATGCTTTGCAATATCATATTTAATATATATGTGTGGGTGTGAGCTGAACCAGATGAAATGTCGCCATGTTTCTGGATCTTTCGATCTTCGAGATGTTAAAGCAAATCCTGACGGAGCGGAGCTAATGTTGCTAATGCTAGCTGCCCACGTTAAGCAGGACCAGACGCTCAGCTGCTGTTTATAACAGATTCAGACTGGAAAGTGATGCAAATGTATCCTGTTTTAGTACAGAAATTGTTATAATTTTAGCTTAGTTTAAATTAATAATTCGGAAAATATGTACTGCATCAGTTAGCGTTGATATTTAAGGTATATTTAATGTCAAATTGATAGCTATAAAGCTTAGAAAACAAATTGGGAACATCAAGCTTGGACATAATTAGATTTTTATAATTATAAATTAACGTTATTATTGTTTGATGTTGGAAATTTAGATAAAGGTTTGATCAGTAAGACCCAAGACTCCACATTGATTTGATTAAAAATTGGGTATTTTAATTAGGTTTTTCCTTGGAGACGCTGACTTAGGGGGTTAGTTGCTTTGTTTAAACTTCAGCAAGTCGTCATCACCACACGGCATTTCTAAAGTTGATGCAGTGAAACTGGGTGATATTTTTCTCAAGAAATTTAATTATGTTGAAGTATAAATAAGTTTTGATCACTTTATTTGAAAATAAAGTGATCACAATAAAATAAAATGTTAGTTTTTTTCTCATTATTTTCCTTCAGAAAAATAAAAAGGATTTAAAACTGCTGTAAAACTGTTTTCTTAATGATAATCAATCAAGCATAATTGAGCGCCTGTCGCTAAAGATTTTTTACTCAACGAGTTGGATTAATGCAGCCAGAATTGAATGGTTCAATCATTTGCTCATACTTTTTCTAATCTTTATCTGTTTTTATGTTTTTAGGATGTCTAAACTGGAACGTCTGAATGCCCGTGTGGCCAAACTGCTGACTGAAGCTGTGCAGGAGGTTCTGGTGCTGGTGAAAGAGACGGTGTGTGAGTACCAACAAAGAACCTTCAGAACACAGAGAGAAAACGAAAGTCTGAAACGACAGCTTCAGGAGCTGCAGGTCAGACTCACCAAAGAAAACACAGGTGGGTTATGCATCGTTCAGTCCCTCCAGGATGTTTCATGCAATAGTTTCAGCTCAAAGTTACTGATTTTGCGGCACCTATTTCAAAAGGTTGCGGTCAAAGTTGCACAATTTTTTAAACCTTTATTTTTGGTAAACTGCTGCTAACTCTGCAACTAAAGATTTGTTTAGTAACTGATTATTCTGACAATTATTCGATTAACCATTTAAAAAATCTGGCACATTCTAATCTAACCTCTTTAGCATTCTTTAGAAAATATGAGAAAAGCATTAAAAGATGCAAATAAACTAATAATTAAATTCTTTTTTTAAATTAAATACATATTTAATGTCTAAAGTAAAATAGCAAAGCATTGCTTTTAAGGGTTTTTTTATCTTAAATGCAAAATGTTTATATTTTTGTTCAGTTTGTTCAAATGGTCTTTTAGTCTCTATGCTCCAGTTAGCAACGATTTGGTTACTAAATTTGTTGATGATTACTTCAATATTTGATTGATGAGAATTAATTGTGTCAAGCCTATTTGTCTTCCTGTAAAAGGACAAAATTTTAACGGTTAAAATTTAAAGTTTGGTCAGAAAAGATGAAAATACAGAAAATAAGGTTATTTGTCAGATTTTCTTTCTTTCCAGTTATGAGTAAATAAAATTTTATTGTTTTTTTCTAATTATTTTCCTTCAGAAAATTTAAAAGGCCTAAATTTTCAGAAGTTAGAAATGAATTTTTTTTTTATTTTATTTTTTTTAGAAATTTGTAAAAATTTTAACGTGTGAATTTTGAAACTTTTCCTGACTTGAGTAAAATAATGCCCATAAAACTAATTTAGACTGGATAACATAACTCATAATAAGAATAAACATTTCAACGTAAAACAAACACTACAAAGTTGACTTAACTTAGAAATTAGTTAAAAACTTATGAAAATGCAAATGGAAAAAATACATGTAGTAATGTAAATTTAATTAAGTTTAAAATTTCAGTATAATAGTTAAAGAGAGATTGCTGTAAATAGTTTTTAAATGTTTTGAACTTGACAGTTAATGTTGATACCTGAGAGAAGCAACAATAAAACTAGACTGAGTCAAGTGGAGTCAATAAATAATTTTTACAGTGTGGAAAAGTTGCAGTGGCTGAAGATTGCAAATCCACGCAAAATTTCCAAATAATGAGTGAATTTGCATTAATGGTTGTTGTTCAGCCATCTTAAGTTTCATGATGGATAAAAATCTTTTATTTTTTTCTACGTTTGCAGCTGTTCTCTCTTCGACGGAGCCGTTTCTTGAGAAAACGGATCATGTGGATGAGCCAAACCAGGATTTGAGCCTCTTTCAGAATCATCATCCAGATGAAACTTCCACAGAGCCAACACTGATCACTGATCTCGCCGTGAAGCAGGAGCAACACATCGACCACGAATCAGGAGCTGAGCGCTGCAGAGCAACAAGTGAGGAAGTCCAGGCGTCGTGCTGTGCAACCAGGGAATCGGACGCTGCGTCGTTCAACAACGTGTGCAGCTCTTACACTGGCGGGATCCAGCTTCCTGCCATCAAAACAGAAACGGAACAACAGCAGCTGGCTGGATGTGTCGACTTGAGCTGCAGCTCTTCAAAAGATCCCGGTCCACAAGCCGGTGCAGAACGAAACGGACTCGTCTTCGTCGATTCAAATCTCGCCCCCGATGGGAGGCAGGGCGTCGTCAACGGCAACAGGGCCTCCACGGTCAACGGAAGACAAATCAGTTTGAATCGTGTCGGCAGAAGCGGCCTCCACCTCTGCATCGTGTGCGGGAAAACGTTCAGCAGGGTGGCCAACCTGCGGATCCACCAGCGGTGTCACACAGGGGAGAAACCGTACGGCTGCGTACAGTGTGGGAGGCGCTTCAGCCAGGCGGGAGACCTGAAGAAACACAAGAGGGTCCACACGGGGGAGAAACCGTACTACTGCAGCCAGTGTGGGAAGAGCTTCAGCCGAGGAGAGAACTTGAAGAGACACCAACGGATTCACATTGTAGAAACTCTGCAGCTGCAGCAAGCGTGGACAGAGCTGCAGTAGATGGACTCAGCACCCTTCCTGCATCTAATCTTATAGGTTTTAACATATTCGATCAAGATTTGTTTGGTTACGTTTACACAGCAGGCAAATGCGACCCAAATTTGATTTCTGTGTCATATATCCATATCCAGCTTTTTCGCTGCAGACAGACAGAACGGCCCAATTCGGATCTTTTCACCCAAAAAATATTCTATCTGTGCTATTTCAATATGTGGAACTAATTTAGATGTCCTATTGTTAAAAATCATGGCAGCGACAAATGTAAACAGTAACATGACATATATTCATAATTCAGCCATAGCGCTAGCATTCATCATCGATTGGCCAACCAGGGGAGACGTCTGCATGTTGGAGTGACAAGAGCTGTATACTTGGGAGCGGCTGCGGCGTTTTGGGAAAATGGTGGTTGGCGATTTTACAGAAGAGCTGTGGATTCAACACATTGGAATGATGCAACTTTTTATGAACTGTGTCTGAAAAAAAAAACAATGCTACAAAAGTCTCATTACGGTCGAGTTTAATCAGTAGTTTGAAGAATAACACAAAAACAAGTAAAAATCGGATTTCAGGAAAAAAACAAAGAATTATCGTCAAGACCTGCTTTGTGAACGTAGCTTTAGCGTTTTTTGAAACAAAATGTCCCACCATCTTGCTACTCAGTCTATCCAATGCCTTCCTTTTTCACATATACACGGCTATGATGATCCTTTGTGTACGAATTGCTGCATGTGTGAGATGATTAATCTGTTTAATCGTGATTAATCGATTATGGAAATAATTGTCAACTAATTTAGTCATTTTTTAAATCGTTAAGTAGAGTATACACACTCAGGAAAAAAAGGTCATTTGCTGAAAAAAATACATATTCACAGCAGTAATTAAGACAAAACTGCACAAAAAATTATACGTTTTGCATGTAAGATGAAAAAAAAAACATGTTCTACTCAGGTCCTCTCAAGTAACTAGTTTAAACTTGACCCAATTCAAATCCTGGGAAAACCTGTATTAACAACCTTTTGCTATCCAGTTATTAATCAGTTAATTGAAAACACAAGCAACAAATTAAACTTATTGTGTATTGATAAGTAAAACAAAAAGGGTTTTTCATAGTTCTTTGCCTAAAAACACTGTATTTTAGGCAATAAAATGTTTATTTTCTGATTTTAAAGTGAATTAGATTATTTGCATTTTTAAATCTATTTCTAATATCACATAAAACCAGTTTTAGTGTTTAAATGAAAAATCTGCATAATGCGACAGTTATGTAATCATATGAATCGTCAAAATAATCAATAGATTAATCTGTTGCTAAAACAGTGAACACAGTTTGACCCAATGAGTTTTCATGTTGATGAACTCCAGATTAGTGCATGATGAAGGAAAAGTTATTCTCAGTTCATCACCACATTTAAACTGCTGTGACTTGAATTCATATCCAGTAAATCTGCTTCACCATATTTAAGCTGATAATCGTTGTTTACATGGTGGAAAATATTTCTCTGTAACTTCTTCTCTGTAGCTATAGGGCATGCAGCGGCGCCTGTTCCTAGTTGACTCCATTGTCCTGAAGCCTAAACAGTTCAAACATTTATTTTTGAAACACTAAAATTGGCTGAGTTAATTATTTTTAGCCAGTTAAATCTGTAACAGCCTGTTATCATTTATTACAAACTTGTTGACGTAGCCGATGCTTTTTTCTCAGTTTTTTTTAACCAGTTTCATCAGTGGTCTGAGAGTAATATATGAATTTAAAGTGCAAACATTACACAACTAGATGTCTTGATTTAATTTCAATTAACCAATAAAGATGGTTACAAATAATTACTGTGCGTTACTTTTTGTTTATCTTTGTAAATATAGAGCGTATATATATATATATATATATATATATATATCTGCATATGGCTCTGCACCCAGGGTGTCATTCTGTCAGAGAGCAGGATGAGAACTTTAAAATATTTTAATCACTAAATATTTAGCTCCAAATTAAATATTTATTTTACTGACTGAATATTTAGTTCTAAACTATTTTCCAAAATACACAGTAATTTTCAAATAAAATATTTATCTTCCAAACTAAATATTTAGCCTGCTTGCTAAATATTTCATTTCAAAATTAAGTCTATAGTTTGAAAAATAAATATTTAGCAAGAAAAGTTTGGAAAAATTAAATGTACAGTTTGGAAAATATTAGCAAAATAATTTGGAGCCAAATATTTCTTTAGCAAAATGAACATTAAATGTGGACATAAATAACAAAATATTTAACTTGAATCTAAATATTTGCTAAATAAATATTTAATTTGGAGCTTAATAGTTAAATATTTAGTTTGAAAGCTATTTAGTTAAGACTTGAACATTTAGTTTCAAATTAAATATTTAGCTATCTAGCTAAATATTTAATTTGAAAGTTAAATACTTAGTTTGAAAGTTAAGAATTTTATTTGGATTTGACGTTAATAAATATAGTAACATTGTGGAAATATAACTGAAAAATTAACACATTTTCTTTCCTTTATGACGGGCTAAATAAACTCAATTATTGCTTTTTTTTAACTTTGTGACTTTTCAAATGGCACCCCATATTTCTTGACATGTACTATTGATTCATTGTGCTTAGTTTTTTTAATGGTTGAAATTCGTATTAAATTCCCATGAAAGGCAGTTTGCAACACTTTATTTTGAAGGTTTCGAAAGTAAATTTTGAAACAAGCGCGTCGCTCTGCAATAGAAACCGCATGATTACGCAACTCCGTGACACGGAGCCAAACATTAAATGTATTTCTAATTATAGGAAAACATGCATTGAAAATGAGTAAAATTATTAAAATATAAAGGAAAGTGTTATCTTAAACCTGTAAGATTGTATTATTTGCACGCATAAATATATTGAAAGCCTTATTTGCTCAAGTGAGCTGACGTGGAGCCGGACCAGGAAGCAGCTACACACACACACACACACACTCTCTCTCTCTCTCTCACATACACACACACACACCCAAGGGAGGAAACTGCAACACGCTTTACGGAAAGGTGAGTAACCAATACCCATGCTGATGGAAACGTTTTCTCGCTTCCCAATTTCTTCAGAAATTTCGTCTGAGTCAGTTTTTGTTTTTAAGCGACGCTGGCGCTTTAAGTAAAACAGCTGGGCAGGTATAAGCGGCGACATGAGCGCCGCTAATAAATGAAAATGTTTATTGTTACAGAAAACTAACAGTAATCCTTTGAAAATAATAATAAAGTCTGTAGGTTGGATTAACTGGTGTGAAACAAGGGAGAAAAATCCAGTTCTTTTGAACTGAGTCACAGTTTGTAACAGTCATGGTCATAATTAGTTCTCGGATCAGTTAGACGCGGAAGTGGCTCAAACTGTGTTTATGTGTGCTACAGGTTTATGTTCTGAACACCCTGCAATGTTGAAATGAAGATTGATGAAAAGGTTGTCAACTACTTTGAATCTTGCAACTCACCTGTGGACAAAGAGGGATACCTGTCCAAAAAGGTAAACACCAACATTTGAAGTTTTTCAAAAATAAAACACGTTTTATATGTTATGTTTTCACGGTTTATAGATGTGACACGTTGCAAAACACAAAAATAGCTGCGGTTCCATTACCAATATGCAAAATATTTCTAATGCCGATGTCGAAAAGTACAATCTCGCAGTTGTGGTGTTTCTGTTAAGTAAATTTAAATTAAAATCACACATGAATAAACTTGTTCGTGCCATAAGTCATAAAAATAATGGCAGGGACCGTAAAAATGAGACGTATTCATAAGTTAGCCATGATGCTAGCACTCATTAATCAGCGTCAGAGAGGAGGCTTTGACTTTTATTCAGGCATTGTAGCCACAAATACTTTGGGGAAATTCTAATCGGCAATTTTACAGAGCAGATATGAAGTCAACACAACTTTATATAAACTGAGAGAGCTGTAAGCTAGAAGCGCCACCATCCCGCTCTTCGTCGTTTTCGCAAGTAGTAACATCCGGCTGTTTATCACAGTGACTGTGTGCCCTGAAATGACTTGTTTCGATAGCGCTGAAAAACCACAAAACCCTTTTTCTTTAATTTTATTTTATTTGGCCTGTTTTCATTAAGACGATTTATTTTCATAATTTAAATTATCTAGTTAATGATGCAGCTAGTGTCTTAAAATCCCATTTTGACCAACGTTTCAACTTGGGATGTGACCCCTTTGATCTATAAATTATTAATATATTTTAGTAGGTGGATTTATTTGACAAGTCAACCTTGAAGTAGGAACCAACTTCAAAAACATAAAAACACTTTATGTTGCATTCCCCATTAAACATTAACCCACAAGAAAAACATTATGAAATGTATGCATTGAACATTTCCTGTCACTTTTTCAAACTAGACCTTTTTAAAGAGATGAAAATGTAATTGCATTTACTTCACAAATTCATTTCATTTTTGTATTGCAGATTACAGAACATTATTAGGAAATCTTATGTGACTTTCTATGAAAACATTATGTTTAATATTTCCACTCTTCCAATTTATTTACATTTTAATATTTGATATATACTTTTAATCAGGTAACTGTATTTTATTTTATTTTTTTCAACATTTTTGTTTCAAATAAAACAGCAGGCAGCCATTTTGTTAAATATTGTAGACAAACTTTTCAGCCTCTATTATTTACTTTGGAAACAAGGAAATTTACCGAGTCGTTAACCAAACAGTAACTAGATACAACTCGTCTCCAGCAATGATGTAAAATTATTAGTATCTGTAAAAGTCAGAGTATTTTGGATTGACTCTCAGTTTGTAACTTTAAACGTAAAGACATACAAACACTAATGTAAACTCTATGCATATTCTAGGCTAAATGGGTTAAACTCTGTTTTTCAAAACGGAAATAAATGCATCTCTGAAGACACATTGTTCGTTTGCCTTCGGGCCTCAAACTGAATTCAATCTCCAGACTCAGTTTTATGTGAGAAATGACTCATAAGTTTGGATTTTAGGAATGAAAAAATGAGGAAAGCTGATAGTTTAGTCAGAACATGTGACAATCCTGCAGGAGCCAAACTTTTCATGGCTAAATATGGGAGCATTAATAAAAAAATCCACAAGTCAAGATTATTTGTCCAACACATTTCAACAAACAAAACAAATTAATGTGCTTTACATGATAAAAACAAAATAATTGACTACTGTGATGAGTAATTAGAAGCAACTCTTAGCAAATATTTTGCTACCCCCCTTAATTTAAAAGAATGCCATGCTAAAGGATTTTTGAAATTTGAAATTTATGAATTTATTTGGCAGGAACAATCAGTAAAAGCCCCAGAATGGCTACCCATTGTATTCATTTTGTCAATAAACAATTGGTACAAACTGGAGCAGTTGCAGTTTTCTGGACGTTTGCTCCAAATTAGAGGAGCATAAACTGAATGCTGCTTCTCCATGTTTGGTTTTGATTCTGGGCATGCAGAGCAGACTTGAACTAGACCTGAAGGCACTGTAATCATTTCAACTAAAGATAAATGCATGGATGAGTTTTCCAGGATCTTGTTGGGACATTCGTAGTTTGGAACTGTTCTTCAGCTATGGAAGACTGACTTTGTAACTGTCTTTATGTGGCGCTGAATGTCCAGGTCCATCACTACACCCAGATTTCAGGCCTTTTCAGTAGTTTGTATTGACTCTGTGCTGACTCTACATCGTTCCTGTTTTGATCTATAGATAATAACTTCAGTTTTTAAAATTCACAAGAAGCCGGTTTAGTTAATACAAACAGGAAATATACGAGGTTGCGTGTTTTGGTCGAACAACTCTTCTGTATGGCTAATAAACGCTTCAGTAAAGCTTTGTCTAGTCTTGTTTACAATGACAGACAATGTGTTTTTTTAGCTTTACGGATGGCCACACAAGTTTGATTAATTTAAAAATATATCTTATTTGAACGGAACAAGACTGGGATTTTTAGAAGTGAACCCAGAGTTAGGTCGGAAACAGAAATTAAGCTCTGGATTGAATAATGGGAGCTAAACCAAAATAACAACTCCAGCCTTGGGGGACGCCACAGATAACAGAAACCTTCACATTTGAGTAGTTAGAAGGTTTTACTGAATTTAAACTCGGTTTCAACATGAACTGAGTTTAAATTGAATTAAACTCAGTTGATGTGGGAGCCAGAGACAAGAGCCAAAACTATTATAACTCTGATGTAAAGTTATTGTTTTGTGACCTGATTTCAACTCCATTCCACACTCTTATTACAAACCAACACAATATTTTTGCAATTAAAATTAAGAAAACATGCGCAACGTATCCTCTTTGCAGACTACAGATTGCTTCAAAGCTGTTGTGTAAGTGAGAGATGTGTAATCTGCTCAGTGAACCGCACCGTGTGTCACAGGGTGAGATAAAGACTTCGTATCAGAAGCGCTGGTTCGTGCTGAAGGGAAACCTCCTCTTCTACAAGGAGCGCCCGGGGGACAGGGACGTAATTGGAGTCATTGTTCTGGAGGGCTGCACCGTCCAGCTGTGCGAGTCCGAGGAGCAGTTCGCCTTCTCCCTGGTGTGGAGCGAGCCGGGACTCCGGACCTACAAGTTTTCAGCGGAGGACCAGGCGAGCCAGGAGAGCTGGATCAAGGCTCTGCTGTCGGCCAGCCACAGCTACTTGGCCCTGCTGGTGACGGACATGGAAAAGCAGTACAGAGGTGAGAGACGGGGGAGCGAGAGGAACCTTTGTTCTGGCTCTTAGTCACTGATTACAGCCTCTACGTCTGGCACCAGGCTCGCTGTGGTACAGATATGCAGACTTGGGCTGCATGTACTGATTCATTAAGTTATCAATTGTTCTGACTAGGCCTGATAAATGCTGCTGCACGATAAATTGCCCCAAAAGTTATTGCAATAACCAATAATATTGTGATTTTGAGAACATTTTCAAGCAATATAACAATATTGGCATAATAATGCAAGGAAACACTTTCAAAGATCAATAAACTTTAAATTACAGGGATTCACAATATATCGGCACTAACATTGGTATCGGTCAATTTGTCTTTTTTTTTTTACATATTGGTATTGGCCCAATAAATAAAATATCAAAGATTGATAATTTGATCTATGTATTTATATCTATATATGCAACCTTGATGATCTTGGGGACCCGTTGTGGTGTGGGAACCCCAAGCAGTCACTTAACTCTCATATGCCTTGGGCCTGCTCTGCCTCAGCCATTGTTGTTATTGTGGCTACAAGCAGATTTTTGAGTCATAATTTTTACCATCTGACTTTTTGGAGCTCCGTTGTCTTTCTGTCATGTTTCAGTCCATCTTTTCTTCCTCTTTTGTAGATGCCTTGCAGTTGCATCCCAGCCAACTCCACCGGCCGTTCACAATGCCAAACTTCCACACGTCAGGACCGAAATTTGTGGAAGCCGGAGTCTCCAACCAAATGCTTCAACCTTCAAACATTTCAGCAGCCAGAGCGTTTTCTAAGAAATCACCCAGACTGCGGCCTAAGAAGAACTCGAACCTGCCGCCTGTCAGCACGCCTGCTCTGCTGATGCTGGAGTACTCGGGTTTGTCTTTAGAGCCACAGGAAGATTTCAGTAAAATGCATGAAGACTTTGGAAAGGAGGTGAAGAAACTGATTGCTGATTGGTCCAGGAGAAGAGGCGGCGATGAACCAGCTCTGGAGGAAAGCCTGATAGATCTTGGATAAAGAAATTTTAAGTTCTTGGTTTTTAATCATTGTGTTAAATCATGTTTGCAATATTTCAAACCTTTTATTTCATTAGAAACAGGAAAAGTTTAGTTTAATGTATTTGCTTTGTTCTGTTTTTATGTTTTCCTACCATACATTGTTCAATAAATTATCTATAATCTCTTTACTATGTTGATCATTAGTGTGAAGTTATTCCTTTGTTACATTTTCACACTGTAATCTATAAAATACAGTTCTGGTTAAAGAATAACTGTGAACATGGATGCAATATTAACTTTTAAATCAAATTTGAGTTGACTTGGATTTACTGCAGTACACACAGGCTCATAGCCATTAAAGTTTTGATGTATTTTCCTTAACAACTTGCGGAAAACCACCCACTTCCTGTAGAAATACACAAACTTCAAAACATTTGGCAGATCCAAATTCCTACCGAGTTTCAAGGTATCGGTTTCAGTCTTGTAGATCTTAACTCTTTTTTTTTTCCTTTTTTTTTAATAGTGACAGTTTGGATCACAGATTGAAACTTTTATAAAAGAAAAGGGTGTTTGAACACTAACATCCCTAAACCACATCAAAACTGGCGCTGTAACATAAATAAACAATATAACAATATTGTTGTATGAAATGGCATTTATCTTATCCGTTTTGTTAAAGATGTGGGCTACTGTTAAAAGCCAAAAATCATCTTAAAAGTAATCCTACGTAATCTCATTACAAGAGTGGCCAAATTGTGCACGTTATTAGCTGCGTTTCCATATAATCGTGTAATTTGACAGTTAAAAAATAAACATGGTTAATGGAAACACGCCAGTTTGAGGGCGGGGAATCGTTTTTCAATAAAGTTTTGGCGTTAGGATGAACAAAACTGGTTTATTTAGCAAAACTACAATGGAAACATCGTTTTTCCGCACCACACGAGTCACATGATCAGAAACCGGAAATGACCATTGGCGCAAACCACGAAGAAGACGATGACAGGAAGTGGCATGTTTCGTCTCCACTGTTGCTACATACAACATGCTAGGTAAGTTCAACGGTTTTCTTTTACGCAAAACTTCTTCAATCAGCTTGTATTGTAAACTAAACATGACTACATAACCACGATTTATTCCAATGTTTTTGTAAAAACGTTGAAGTGACGTGTGTCCCATTCTACTTTTAGACGCTCTAAAAAATGTTCCAAAAAGTCATAGATTAGCGATGTTTACATTTTAGATTAGATCCGGCAATTTTTCACCAAATATTTCAATAAATGTTTAACATTACAAACAATGCTAAATATGAGTGTGTTTTAAAAAAGCAAGGTAATCAGTGAAGAGTGTCAAAATGTTAGAACAGGTTCAAAATGGCTGCAGAAGAGAATGGTGGTGGTGATGATGGGTGGGGGGCAGCGCTGCTATTTCTGTCTGTACAGCTGTCTTGTTTTTATGGTGTTTGACTGCTCCCTCTGTCTCTCCTTTCACCTTCAAGACAATATCTGGAGGAGAATGAAAAAATAAAAAAAGGATTTTAAATAAAGCCCTGTCTTATTATGAGACCTGGGCCACACATATGTCATGTGAAAAACATTCAACCTGCAGGAGAGGAGGGGCGCCGACTCAACTCCAAATACATGCCTTGGTTGTATCGTGGACTGATTGATGGGAGCCCATGGAGCTCATATATGGCTTTAGGTGGGTGGGTTACGGTCCTTCTGTCCTAAAACCCCCGGAGTAACCAAAATTAGTGCATTCCTGATCAGAAAACTACTAAACTAGTGAATAATCTTCATTTTTTGCTTCCCAAATGATAACCCCCCACCCTCCCAAAAAAAAAACAAACACAAAATCTTACCAAGAAATTTATCAAGTCTAGTGAATAGATTGGTACACTTGAAATAACATAAAACTAACTTATAAATAACTTTTCATCAAGATATATGTTTATTTTAAATCAACAATTCCTTAATATAGAGAAAAAGTTCTAGTTCCTCTGGTTAAATATTTCACTTAAAATAGGGGAAAATGTTTTGTTCTAAGAAAAATAATCTGCCAATGGAACTAATACTGGGTTGCTAGGTAACGGAGTGGGCTTAGCTGGTGTTGCTAGGTAACGGACTGGGCTTGGCTGGTGTTTCTAGGTAACGGACTGGGCGTGGCTGGTGTTGCTAGGTAATGGCAAAGTGCCAGTTTATTGTGAAATAACCTGCCAGTGGAACTAGCACTTTTTCCATCATTCTTAAGGAATTATTGACGTAAAACAAGCTCCTGTTTCTTGGTGAAAAGTTACTTATAAGTTAGTTTTGTCTTACTTTAAGTGTAGTAAGATATTTTCACTGGAAACTAAACCAAAAATATTTGGTAAGATTGTGCGGCGAACAATTGGACTCTGGAGGATTTTTGCATTAACTTAAATTCCAGCTTTTTCTCCCATTTGTCACTCATCATTTCTGTTCACAAAGCGTTTTGCTGTGTCTACTTAAGTCATAAAGGCCTGCTTGTGTTTCTCATGTGAGGCCTGGTCGTCATGTGTCATAGTTGGAGCCGGACCAGCATCCTCTCGTCAACAGTTTTCAGGTTTCATTACTGTTTATACATCCTAACTGCGATCGCTGAAGAGTCGTTGAGGCCCAGGCCTATCACTTACCCAGGTGTTGACTTGGAAATATGTTTACACCAACCGCACGTCGCTGGAGGATAAATTAATAGAAAGCAGAGTTTCAGTTGACCCCATCTGTTTGGGGGTCATTCGAATAAAGCCGGTGGACGTCTGTCTTCTTCTTTCACCGCCACCAACAAACACAAAGATGAACCGGTCGTTCCTCTGCATCCATTTGGCCTTATTTGTCCGCTGACGACACCAAAGTCAGCCCTGTCTGTTGGCATTGAATTCACCTCATTCCAAGACTTCTCTGGCCTATTTTGGAGCCGCCTGTAAGCCGATCCACCCAGCCGCCTCCTCACTCCTCCCCTGTTTCTCTTACTCTTTCCTCAGCTCTGCTTCCCTGCCAAACCTGATGATGTAGCTAAAGTTAGCCCCTGACAAGTTAATATATAAGACCCCAAGGGGCCGATGCATACATGTCAGTCTCATCGACTTGGTGTACAGGCTTCTCTTCTTGACCAACAACAACCCAACAAACTTTAGAGATGGTGAGTGTGGTTTCTTGGAGCTACGGTTTGCATCACAGTTTGGACAACCAGGATTGTTGGAGTCACCCAAAATCAGGTGACTTTGGATTTGAACCCTTAATTATGAAGAAGAAGAAGAAGGATAAATGCCTTTTTAAACTGGTTTATCCCAAGATTATAAGACAAACTTTCATTTTAAATTGGATAATGAAGTTATTAACAAAGTGGCAGAGATAAAGGTCTTTTCTTTGCTAGAAATCAACAGTTTGAGATACTTTTAGATCTAGGGTTAAAGTTAAGTTTTCTTGTCTTATTTATTGATTATTTTCTGTATCTTTAAGGGTGCAGAAACCTTATGTTTTGTGTGTGTTTTACCTGTTTTTCTCCATCTCTCAGGCACCCAAGAAGGCCAAGAGGAGGCAGCAGCAGGGTGAAGGTGGATCCTCCAATGTGTTCTCCATGTTTGAGCAGAGCCAGATCCAGGAGTACAAGGAGGTAACTTTTTTAATCACTGCATCACACGTCAATTTTACTGGTGTGATTTTGGGGAATGTGTGTGTTTCACTATGATTTGGCCTTGTTTTAGTAATATAAGAGTGTTTCTGAAAACCAATATTGTCCTTCTCAGCAGGACAGGATGGTAAATCTGAGCTTTTCTGGAGTCAGGTGATACCTCCTCTCCTCTGTTAGCTCTGTAATTCTCCTTAGAGACACTTTGCTCCATGACTCCACTGGAATGCAGCCCAACAGCTGGTGGAAAGTCCAATTAATCAAAGCTGGAAAGAGCGGGGTGGGGGGAGTATGAAAACATACAAGTTGAGTCAACATTCAGGGATTACCAAGGTTGTTTCGCCCCTTGAGTCTAGTTTTTATAGCATCAGAGGGTTGCAGCCTTGATCTTTGACAGAAATGTCTCCTTAAGCATCTCTGGGATTGGAGAATGCGAGGCCAACGGTAGCTTAGCTGGGTCCTCCAAAGGTGAAAGAACATTGGTGGCATGGTCAGAAGATTCTGTCACAAGGCAAAAGGATGACAGCTGTAATCAATACCTTGTCCTTAAATGTCGCAAGGGGGCTTGTCTCGCATTCCAGAGCCTTTTTAACACCTTCGAGAGACAAGTGGACGACCAGCTGCCAAGACCCAAAAGGTTCCCAATGCCATCTTTGGTTTCAAAGGGGGTGAAACGACCCGCTATGTGACAAGGGAAAGCGGCTAACGGCTCCACATTTACACGTTTGCCTTGGCAGACTAGCTCCCACTTACAATCACTATTAACAAGTCTTAAGACAAGGACTTGTGAGAAATGTGAGAATCTTTGTTTTACAGTTTTAGTGTCTTATATCTTGACCTTTTAATCCCACACATCCTTGCATACACAGCCAGGCCAATCACGGTAACACATTTTTGCTGGACGATAAATTGTCCCAGAAGTTTTTAAGTAATTTAATGGTAATGGAAACTAGTGCAAATATCTTAGCATACTTGAAATAAGACAAAACTAATTTAAAAGTAACTTTTTATCAACTTGGAACTTGTTTTACTTCAATAATTATTTAATATTGATGAAATAGTTTTAGTTGCATTGGCGCGTTACCTAGCAACCCCAGCCAAGTCCAGCCCGTCACCTAGCAACCCAGTTCTGGTTCCACTGGTAGATTATTTCACTTATAACAAGAGATTTTTCCCACGTTATAAGTGAAGTAATCTGCCAGTGGAACCAGAACTTTTTCATCAGTATTAAGGAATTATCAACTTAAAATAAGCTCATATGTCTTGCTGAAAAATTAATTCCAAGTTAATTTTGTTTTAATTCAAGTGTACTAAAACAGTTCCACTAGAAACTAGACAAAAATACTTGGTAAGATTTTGTGTTTTTGAATTCAGTTAACATTGGAACTTTAAGGCATTTTAAATATCAAAATAAATAAACAAAACAACAAATAAAACAAATTATGAAGTTTCTGCAAACAAAATTATTCTTAAAAAAGGTCAGTTGTGACAAAAGCACCAAACTGAAGACTTTAGTCATCCAGTTTTTGGTAGAAAGAGATAAGTCATGCAAATGGAAATTATTATTGAGTTTGTTTTAATTTATCATGCAATTAATTGATTGCGACCAGCCTATACACAGCTACATATTTAAATATTTTCTTATTATTTTAGTTTTGAGCTTTTTGACTCATGTTTCCTGCAGGCTTTCACAATCATCGACCAGAACAGAGATGGCATCATCAGCAAGGATGACCTCAGGGATGTGTTGGCCACCATGGGCCAGCTGAACGTGAAGAGTGACGAGCTGGAGGCCATGGTGAAGGAGGCCAGCGGCCCCATCAACTTCACCGTCTTCCTCACCATGTTCGGCGAGAAGCTCAAGGGTTTGCTGACAAACACTAACTGTTCAACCCAGATGGCAAAACATGAGTGAATCAATGCTGAAATATGTTTAGACATGAATATTGAATCGATGTCGAATCCTGACATGTTGAGTCACCGTTATGTTTTCAACCGTAACTGATAATATCATATCAACGTTGATTCAACCATTATCTAAATTTTGATCTACATGTACATTTATGTTAATTTTATATTGAATCAATACATACATTGATTATACGTTGGCATTTCAATCATTAGAATTCAAACACAAAACATTATTCAATGATATATTTTCAACAAATGTTAACTGGCTAGAGTTAGTTAAGCCTGATTTTGTGTGTAAATTCTAATGGTTAGCTCTATGGCAGCATAAAAATATGTGCTGCAGTAACTGCGGTATTTACATTTAGGCACCTTTTATGCTACTGTTTATTTTTAAGCATTTTCCTGAAGGCACATTTTCACAAGTCGGTATTATTCAAGTCATTACTTACCCGTTTTGTATGTGCAAAATGTGTTCGTCACAGCGTTCTCACTCGCATCCAATGAGACTTTGTGTCCTTCATCATTTTTCCTCTTTGGCTTTCACGTTGAGTTCTCCGATGTTTCCCACTAATAGCCTTACAGACCTGATGTAGGACTCTGAGAATTTTTAATCTTTTTGACCATAATTCAACATTGAATTAACATCTTTTGATATCTGAGTAGGCTTCTCTAACTTGTTGTTTGAGATTATTTGACAAATCGGGTTTGTGTTGCTGTTAGGTGCTGATCCCGAGGATGTCATTGTGAGCGCTTTCAAGGTCCTGGACCCCGAAGGCACCGGCAGCATCAAGAAGGAATTGTAAGAACATTTTTCGTCAAATTTTTCTAACATTTCAGAGTTGTTTTCCTCAAGTTTATGCAATATATTTGTTTCCGTTTCCAGCCTCCAGGAGCTCCTGACCACCCAGTGTGACAGGTTCACTAGTGAGGAGGTGAGCTACTTTCACCGACTTTCTTAGGCGTTGGCTGCAAAACTTGGAGGACCTTTCACAGATTTTATTGTTGGCCCAAACTGCAATTCAACAATGATAAAAATTCATATATTAAACTTTTTATTTTAAATCAGGGTAAAATTGTCACTCAAGGTTTTCATTCAATGAAAAATGTTAGGTACTCTGAGAAGTATTTGTCTTATTTCAACGAAACCTTTATAATAAGTAGAAAAAACATCTGTCCTGAGACTTTTACTGAGAAGCCAACTGAATTTTTTTGAGTTATTATAACTCTGTTATATATCGCAAGCATTTTGAAAGAAAGCGACTCAAATCCTGTTTTTATTATTAAGAAGATTGGATTTTTACATTAAAATTAAAAAGATTTTTGGAGTAAAATGTTCTAAACTTATGGAAACTGGAGGAAAAGCATATAGTTTATTTTGTAGTGACAAAGACTTGAATAAATGCAGTGGCGCAACTGCACATTATTCAGGTGAATGTGAAAACATAAATCGCAACGCAATGATATAAACTCCCAGTGGAACTAGAACTTGGTTGCTAGGTTATGGCCTGGACTTGGCAAGTGTTGCTAGGTAACAGCCAAGTGGCAGTTGACTGCGGAATATACCAGTGAAAATAGAACTTCATCAATATTAAAGGATTACTGACTGAAAATAACCTCCTATATTTTGATAAAAAGTTACTTTTAAGTTTGTCTTAATTCAAGTGTACTAAGATATTTGCACTAGAAACTAAACAGAAATGATTAGTAAGGTTTTGTGTTTTTGCAGTGTGCCTGGTGAAATATAAATGTACCAAGTAATTAAACCATTTTTGACCTACTCAGACTGACCTCTGTGGCCTCCTCTGCCCTTTAGATGACCAATCTGTGGGCTGCCTTCCCCCCCGATGTGGCTGGCAATGTGGACTACAAGAACATCTGCTACGTCATCACACACGGAGAGGACAAGGAGGAGTAGATCCCTTCTTCTCTTCAGCTCTCTACCTCTACCAACGCTCTGCCACCGTACACTCGCTCCGTTTTCTCCAACGCTGTGACTTCACTTTCACAAACTCTCTCGTCCAACATTTCCGCTCACCAAAAGACTTCTCTTCTTTGCCCGAGACGCTGTGGACGGGGGCGGTTTGTGAACAACAGGAGAACATGGGATTATTTTCAATAAAAATAATCTTATGATACTGAAACTCTCTCTCCATCTCTGTCCTTACCTCTTTCTCCTCCCTTTATCATTCACTCTGTTCTGCGTTTTGAGGCCAACAGTGCAAACGTACGGCTAGCATGCAAAAGCTACAGAGTTTGGTAGTAACTAGTTACATTTAGTGTAGTAACTCTTTTGACAACATTTATTTTTACTGTACTTTTTACTTTTATTTGAGCCATTTAGTTATGAAGTATCGTTACTCTTACTTGAGTAAAATGTCTGGATTTTCTACTCACTGAATGAAAAACAAAAATTCACCAGACACATAATTTGCAGTTTTTATTAAAGTTTTGTAAGTTTTTAATGAAAGAAAATTATTTGGAAATTTTTTTTGTGCCGGTTTTGGTTATTTTTTTGTTACTTATATGACTTATTGTAATTTTCGTCCTGAAAATACCAAAATTTCCACTTCATATTTTAGTTTGTCTCATGGTGTAATTTTGATCAGTTACTCAGTACTTGAGTGGACTTTTTACTAAATACTTTTTTACTCTTACTTGAGTAATTTTTTGAATGGCTACTTTTTGCTTTTACTTGAGTAAAAATATGTTGAAGTAGTGCTGCTCTTAAGTACATTTTTTGGGTTCTCTGCCCACCTCTGCTAGCAGCAATTGGCCAAAATGTCTCCTGGTTGCTTCGGCATTTGCACGGCAACTAGCTTGAAACAAGCTAGCCATTTGACCTGGTCGGGTCTGTTGGTCTCAACTTCACAGAGTGCTTAATGGCTTCCTCCCATTTATCTGTGGGAGAGTAAAAGAGTGGAGGTACCGCACTACAATAGCTAGCCTACCCCTCTCTTTTACCAAGAAGAGGAGCTGCAATCAGGAAAAAGAGGAAAGCATTAAACTAGAGAAAGAGTGAAAGATGGTGAGTTAGGGGGAAGAAAATGGACAATCAAAAGGAAAAGGATAAATAAATCTTTTGTTTTTGACTCGTTGTCCTCCATGTCACTGCTGTTTCGCTCCTGTTGTGATTGTGATCTGTCTGCACTGTAACAAAGAAAGAAGTACAAATAAAATCTGCTCTCTTTCATACGACACTTTCACTGAGTCGGCTGGTTTAACAAGTTTCAAATTACTCCATGACGCCAAGCAGAGACAATTTTCAGAAAATTTATCAGAATGGAGCATTAAAAAATGTACAAATGTGGTGAAAATTGTTGATGCCCCTCTGGAGAGCTGGGTAGTAACCAGTTACATTTACTCAATTACATTTACTTGAGTAATTTTTTGAAAAAAATTTGTAAAATTTCTGGATTTTCTACCCACTGAATAAAGAACATATTTTAACCAAATACACACACACACACACACACGCAGACAGTTTGCAGTTTTTGTTAAAGTTCATAAGTTTTATATAGAAATAAACTAATTTGGAAAAAAAAATCTTTTGGCTATTGTTAATTTTTACTTATAAATTATTGTCATTTTTGTCCTTAAAATTACTAAATTTTTTACTTAACTTTATGTTTTTGTCCGTTTCATAATGTAATTTTTAAATATTAAATGATTGATAATTATATCACTTACTCAGTAATTGAGTAGACTTTTTACAAAATACATTTTTACTCTTGAGTAATTCCTTGGACAGATACTTTTTACTTGAGCAAAAATATGTTCAAGAAGTGCTATTACTCAAGTACAATTATTGGGTACCACAATATCTGATTTTGTTTGGTTAATTCTGAGTACATTTCTTTTTATTACTACTTTTCTCAGTTATTTCAGAGATCATTGTGGGTTTTTTGATTATTAACAGAGGGGATATCGTCATTTTTACATAATTTTATGTAATTCTGAGACGCTCCACTTCCTCCAGATCGGCTTCAGTGCTTGAGTTACTTCCTTTTAAGTCTTCAAGCGAGCACAACTAAACCAGAAATAAATGTGACGACGCATAAATCAATCAAATCACAGGTCCAACATGTTTGTGCTCTGAGGACATTACATTCTGTTCAAGACACAAGACCCTCGAGCTTTTGCCTCTCATTCTCCAAGGTCGTTCTGCTCAGTTAAGTACAAATGTTTTATCACGTGGGCCAAAAAACAACAACCCCAGCCTAAAGTCAAGCAAATAAGGTAGTCAGATTTTTATTTATTTATTTATTTATTTATTTATTTATTTATTTATTTATTTATTTATTTATTTATTTATTTTCAAAATGGATATTTACTTTAGATCCAAAACTTGACATGATGGAGTATTAGGCCATTGTAGACTAACAAAAAATTTTACTTAAATAAAAAAGTAGTAAATTTCCACCAAAAAGGTCAGAAATTGAGATTAATCTCAGGAATTTTCTAAAAAAAAATTTAGAAAATTATTGACTTTTGAAATTTTTCTAATTTTTTGACATTTGAATCATTGAAATTCCCACGTTTTATTTTTTGTGGAAAATTTGAGTTTCTTGGTGGAAATTTGCAACTTTTCTATAAAATAATCTACAACTTGGCCTATTGGATTTCGCACGTTTGCTATTTTAAAAGACAGACAAATTTGTATCAATTATGGGGGCTGCATAGAATCAGTCCAAGGCCCACAAATGGTTCCCGGGCCACACTTTGGACACCACTGTTGTAGGGAACATAACTGCAATGCACATTATGAGCTAGAAAAGGAGCCTAAAACCTGAACAGCTGTAAGGATTTTAGCTCTTCAGAATGTTTTTTTTTACTGGATGTGTAACTGGGTTTTATTTTAACAAGATGTGATATTTATCTAAATTTGTCAGTTTGTTCTTTGAGTTTGTTTTGTTAAAAAGTTGTTTCTCCAGAAGTTTCTATTGGTGTAATAAGTTCTGTTAGGAGGCTCTTGACGGTTGGTGGTTACCATAGTAACCAGTAACTGATAGCTCCTCCCACTTTTTTCTGTTGCCATTTCCAACTGTGATATTTGTTGAGATCAGTTCTGTTTTCTTTACAAGTATTATATTTTAACATATATTTTAGACAAATTTAATCTTACACAGTGTTTCATTAGTAATTTTGCTATGTTTTGTATATGTCATTATTAATGTTGTGCATTTTAGCTCTGTTTAATTTTACAATTGTTAGCTGGTCATTGGGAGTTATTGCTCTGTAGTTTATTATATTTTACTTAATGTATAGAGGCAGAAGCTACTGGACTGATGTTAACCACCAACTTGATTTCCTCTTTTGTTAGAATAAATACAGTGAACCTGAGTGTGTCTGTTGTGAATTCAACCTACTGGACCTCAGACAAACATAGATGGGTTACAAATGCACATTCTTAGAGATTATTGCACATTCAAATTCTGCAAACGCGGAATCAACAAACAGACCTTCGCTGAACACTAACCTCACACTCTGATATCAAAAGTAGAGCAGAGGAAGATCATGAGATAGCAGAACATTGCCGGGTAGCTGTTTCCTCAATTCTTAAAGTAACCTAAGACCGTTACCAGAAGATCACTCATTATGAAAAACCTGCTGCCCTTTTGGACCTCAGTCCATTTTGTAAATATCCAACAGTCTAAATTGATGATGATAAGAGGAGGGTAGAGTACCCAAAACATTTACTTAAGTAAGATAAGCACTACTTCAACAGATTTTTTACTCAAGTAAAAGTAAAAAATAGTCATCCAAGAAATTACTCAAGCAAGAGTGAAAAAGTATTTGGTAAAAAGATTTCTGAAGTGCTGAGTAACTGATCAAAATTACATACTCAGACGGACCAAAAATATAAAGTTACATGGAAATTTTGCCATTTTAAGGATGATAATGACAATAATTCATATACGTAAAAAATAAAATCAGACAAAATAAGTATTATTACTAGAAATTATAATATAGCTATTGTTAATAATAAAAAATAGTTATTAATAAAATAATATATTTATTAGTAATGAAAATGACTAATGATAAGATTCGCCGATTAGAAGTAATAATTATATCACAATAACAATAATAACAATTGGTATTATTATTATTTTATAGTTATTAGTATTAATTATACTATTACTACTACTACTACTACTACTACTACTACTAATAATAATAATAATAATAATAATAATAATAATAATAATAATAACGACTACTATATATAATAAATGTGAATAAATGTAATAATAAATGTTCTGTTACAGGATGTAATTCCATGTTGTAACAAAAATACCTGCCTTCAAAATAAAGCATAAGTAACCACATTTTATGGCGCAAAGAATGACTTCATTTTAAAAAGTAACTTAATAACATCTTCTTTTTTCCTCATTTTAGTTGTATATAGATTTAATCTACTGTTATCAATAAACTCAGAGGGTTGTCATGAATAAATTAAGCAACTTTAATAAAGAGCTACGTTTATTTTGAAGCTGTAACCGGATGTTGTGTAGCTGTAAAACCTGCTCTTATTCAGAAGACAGGAGGGAAACACGGCACTCTATCCGTGCTTCTGTTTATCCGGTTCATCCCCTCTGACTCGGAATGAACCAGCGTTGATGTCCGTCGCCGGGCCCGTTTAGCCGCCGTCACCCCCCGTGCCTTCGTGATCCTGGCGGGCCCGAACCACCCGCCATGGCCTCAGCGTTCCCCCGCTGCACATCTGTCAGACTCCCCATGTCTGTCGCCGTCATCCTCCTGCTGATGTCAGTGACCGCTGTGCAGTCCTCCCAAGGGGACAAGGAACCGGTGTACCGGGACTGCGTAAAGCTGTGTGTCCAGACGAACTGCACCGGAGCCCGGCTGCTGGGTTTCGAGTCCAGCCAGCCGCACTACATGGCGCTGACAGGTGAGCCGTTGCTGGCAGGTGATGGGGAAGCTAGCTTAGCTTGTTAGCTTTCTAACATTCAGCACCATTATAATTATGATTTAACAATTTATAAACTAGTTCAAGTAGGTTTTTATTCATTCCTCACTTGTTTTGTCCTTTTCACTTTCCCTAAACTCCTTCAGATAATATCTAGCAGGTTCGCACCACAAAACGTGACAAACTTGTTTTTCTGGTACAGAAACACCACTGTACAGCCATTGTGTTCCCTGATCGATTTTAGACAGGTTTGCACAGGATTTATCACCATTTTCTCCTTATTTTTTCTTAAAATTGATATGATTATTTTTGAAACTGTATAAGTTTGGTTAAATATTTTGGGAATCCTCATACAGAATCCTCATACAAGATACCTAAAATACACCAGAGTCGCTCAAAATAATAATAATAATAATAATAATAATAATAATAATAATAATAATAATAATAATAATTAACGGAGGTGGGCTCACCCAAAAACTGTACTCAGGTAAAAGTATCACTACTTCAGTACAGTGTAGTAAAAATGCTCTTAAAATAATTTATTTTTCAAAAAGGTTACTCAAGTAAATGTAATTGAGTAAATGTGACTCGTTACAACCCATATCTGATAACTAATAATCAAGAAAAAAAAAAGACTCCCAACTCTAGCTGAGTTAAATTGGCAAAATATAAGTTTATTTACGACGTCTAAAATTAGGGCAAAGTTAGGAATAAAAGTAGTAAGTACTGTATTAATAAAAGTAGTAATCATATTGAGAAAAATACAAAAAATGGTTAAATTAATAACTATTTATAACATGTATTGTATTTAGGCAGGGGCCACAATGAGATACCTTTTATTGGGTTTGAACAAAAAAATTAATCTATGACATTTTTAAAAGCATTTAGAATTCATTTTAAAAGGCTGCAGAATGTGCCATTTTTAAAAAATCAAATTAATATATTAATTGTCAGAATGTTGCACTTCATTGTCTTCACTGCGCCCCAGGTTGGACGTGTCGGGACGACTGTAAATACCAGTGCATGTGGACCACTGTTGGCCTTTACCAGGCTGAGGGATACAGGGTCCCTCAGTTCCACGGAAAGGTTTGTCTCAACACTGCAAAAAACTGTAAATATTACAGTATTTTTGCTCTAGTTTCTTCTGTTAACATCTAGGAAAACTTGAAATAACACAAAAATAACTTACAAGTAACTTTTTAGCAAGATATAGGAGTTTGTTTAGAGTCACAAAAACAAGTTTTGGTTCCAGAGGCAGGTTATTTTACCCTTAGGAAAACTTGAAATAACACAAAATTTACGTTCAGGTAACTTTTCATCAAGATGGGGAGTTTGTTTTAAGGCAGTGATTCAATGATATTGATTAAAAAACAACTAGTTCCACTGGCATATTATTTTACTACTAAGACATTTCCCCTTGTTTTTCTAAGTGAAATAATCTGCCAGTGGAACTAGTACTCTGTTGCTAGGTAACAGGGTGGCCTTGGCAGGTGTTGCTAGGTAACGGCAAAGTGCCAGTTGACTATGAAATAATTTACCAGTGGAACTAGAACGTTTTCATCAATATTAAGGAATTATTCACTTAAAACAAGCTGCCATTTCTTGTTGAAAAGTTACTTTTATGTTAGTTTATCTTATTTCAGGTTTTCAAAGATATTTACTCTTGAAAGTAGATAAAAAAATACTTGGTAATATTTGTATTTTTTGTAGTGAATCGTCTTTTTAACCAAAACGTCCTTCTGGATCATCATTGCTATTATTATGGAGTCAGATTTAACATTTTCTTCCTTGCAGTGGCCGTTTGTGCGCATCTTGTGCTTCGAGGAACCTGCATCTGCGCTGGCATCTCTGCTGAACGGCTTGGTCTGCCTGCTGATGATGCTGCGCTACCGGAGCACGGTGCCACGCCAGAGCCCCATGTACCACACCATCAACGCCTTCTCTCTGGTGAGTCCCAGGAAAACTACAGACAGGGCCGGGCTGTAAAACGATTTGATCCATTTGTCACATTTTTAGTTTTTGAAGATTTAATTTCTGGAAAATATGGATTTTATGTGTTACACCAACACAAAGTAGAGGATTATTGTGAAATGCAAGGAAAAACAAGTTTTTACACATAAAACTGAAATATTTTATAAATTAATAACATTTTGAAGATTAAATTTTTTGAAAAATTAGAATTTTTTTTTTCTTTCTTTCTTTCTTTTTTTTTTTTTAGCCAATTGACTCCTTGTCCCCTCCCCCATGCCGGCCATCTTGTTTTACAACTGTGTTTTACAGCTTCTATTACTTCATAATATTACAAGAATGCAGCCATAGTAATGCCGTAATAAAGTTTTATGACAATAAAGTTGCAATCCTGCGAGATTAAAGCGTAAATATTACCAGAATAAAGTGGTAATATTTGGTGAATAAAGTAATAATTCTATCAGAACTTCTACACAAAAAATAGCAGTAAATAAAATGAAGAATATTGAACATTTTGTAAAGTTATTGTTTGGTTTCCATCTTACAGAAAAGGCAATTCTTCAAATTTGAGTCACTGAGTCTGTTGATTCTTGAGCTGTTCATGTTAGATCTTAATAACTAGAAGCTTTTTTCATTGAAACAACTTTTTTTGTAGTTTTCTGGTAAAATCGCATCTTTGCTCTGCTAATATTCTCATAATTAAATAAATATCCTCGCAGGCCATCATACAACTCACAAAAGGGATGATTGAAATAAAAGCGTCTTTTTGAAAATATTTCCAATTTATTATTTTTAGAAAATAAATCAATAAAAAGCAGAAAGTAGACCTGGCATTAAATTTGTTCATTTTCTTGTGTTTTGTTGTTCAGGTGTCACTGAATGCTTGGTTCTGGTCTACAGTGTTTCACACCCGGGACACATTTCTCACTGAGGTAATGCTTGACATGTTAACATGTCATGTTAAAACATAGATATAAAACTTTCGTTGTTAAAGCATTTATCTGGAAGAATCCGTAAGAATTATTCTGTTTAACTGCTAAACTGATCATTAGCACCCTAATATCTTCAGTTGAGGTCTTTGCTATTTATTTTTCTGTAAAGTTCAGATCTTGAGATTAGTTTACCTCATCTGGAAATGAGTGTTACTAATTTAAAATCATCTTCCATTTCAGAAAATGGACTATTTCTGTGCAACAGCAGTGATTCTTTACTCCATCTACCTGTGCTGCGTCAGGTGAGCCGATGGTTTAATTCTGCTGCAAGTCCTTGAAATTGCTTGAATTTCAATATTAGTTGTTTTCAAGGTTTGGAAAGTCCTTGATTTTTGTATAAAGTCTTTGGAAGTCTTAAATATTCAAACTGCACAGTTTGGTAATAAAGTGCAATCTAACATTTGGATAAAAGTGTAAGTTTGAAAAGTTTTATATACAGTTGAAACAAGATTGTTGTACACCCGATTTAAAATAAATATATATTCTAACTCCCTGAAGTTAAATTATGTTGAACTTCTTTTATTTTAGATTAGTTGGAATTAATTTATGCTAAATACCAGAAATCTTGGCAAGAATTTTTTTAGAGATTTTACTCTTAACTTTCTCTGTACGTTAACACGATTTGTTTGGATTGTTTCGATGTAATTAGTTTTTATTATTTCTAATGGCTCAATGGCTTATTTATCTATGTAATTGAAATAAAAGTTAGCTTGTATTTTATGTGTTAAACAAATTAAATTGGGATATTTTTTTGTTAAGTTTGTCTTTAGTTCTTGGACCAGACAGTTGTGTGTGAGAGACATTTCAAACCATGAAATGTAGTTTTTTTCTTTAGTTTACCCAGGAATGTAAAATACAATCTATAACAAGACATTATTAACAACAGCAATAAATTATATTTTATATTTATTAGTTTTTTGAAATTATATTTAACTTCGAAGTACCTTGAAAAGTGCTTGAATTTTACTGCCATTAACCCAGCTTAAACTGGCCTGAAAATATTGTAAGATCTTTTATTCCAATATATCTGCTGTTAATATTATCTCAGTAGTTACTGTATATCTCCCTCCTGTCCAGGACTTTGGGTCTGAGGCGGCCAGCCGTGTCCAGCATTGTGGGCGTTCTGCTCATCCTGGCCTTCACCTCCCACGTCTCCTACCTGACGTTTGTCAGATTTGACTACGGATACAACATGGCCGCCAACGTGTCCATCGGTACAACAAACACCCAATAAATCAGGTTCCATTGAGAGTTTCATGAGGTGGTTCTGGTTCTACTACTGTTAGTTGGATTATTTCCAGATTTTATGGTTTTATAAAGGGTTTGTTAGTATTTTGTGTGATAGACCAACACAAATTGGACTTTAGTTGGGAGGACAATTATGGCTTTAAAATACATACCAAATTTACGTCGCTGTATTAGGTTTATTGTAGATAGAAAAAAAAAGGAGTACATTTCTGTCAAAAGACTTACAAATTTTCTAGAGGCAACGAGGAAATTTCAGAGCTTCAAAACCTTGAAAAAAAAAAATCTGAATTTTTAAAATTAATCTCACAAATTTTGTGCAAAATCTTGGAAATTCAAAAGTCAAACGTTTTTGACTTTTGGAAATTTCCAGAGTTTGAGAAGTTGAAAGTTTTCTACTTTTCAAGATTAATTGTCTGCGTTTTTTTCCCCCTTTTTTTCTTTCCGAGTTTAATCTCAAAATTTCTGATTATTTTATTATTTTCCGATTATTATTTCAACTTTTGTAGCTTCTGCTTTAAATATCTAACTAGGGACGTGACCTTTCCTGTTTTATCCCAACTTTACTCCATGTCATTGTTTTTTATTTTTTAGCAGTTATGAGGCAAAGTGGCAGGACATTAAACTGCAGCTGTGCCAGTTACTCAACAGGTCGTTGCTAGGTAACCAAAGAATCAGTTGAGTTGCTAGGTAACCAAAGAGTAAGCTAGGTTGATTCTACCAACCTATGTTAGCTAGCCAGACAGAGTTTTGATTATATTTTATATATTAAATATTGAATATTCTATCAGATGTATTATGTATTGATATTGCTCATGTGTCTATTGTGATAATATGTTGTGATTGATTGATTGATTGATTGATTGATTGATTGATTGATTGATTGATTGATTGATTGATTGATTGATTGATTGATTGATTGATTGATTGGAGAATGACTGTAGTGCAGCAGCTTTTTGTGGTTTTTCTGTCTGCAGGCATGGTGAACATGCTGTGGTGGTTCTGTTGGTGCTGGCAGAACCGGCGGACTCTCCCCTACTGGTGGAAGTGTGGCCTGGTGGTTCTGCTGCTTCACGGCCTGGCCCTGCTGGAGCTGCTGGACTTCCCGCCACTGCTCTGGATCCTAGACGCCCACGCTGTGTGGCACCTCAGCACCATCCCAGTGTACTTCCTTTTCTACAGGTTGGTTTCTAGAGCTTCATAGGAAAGTTTGGGCTCAATTTCTTTTAAAATTGTTGACCTTCTGACAGCATTTTCTCTTTAAAAATAATAATATGTGAACATTTTAATAAATCCATGAATCTTTCAAAGATTATTTAAGATTAGTAACACTAATTATGTGATTAATTTAAGTTTTAATTTACAAAATAACAATTTCATTATTCATTTAACAGTTTTCACATTTTCAGGAATGTCACTTGAGTGTGGGCGGGGCTAAAACATAAGTCAAGGTGATTGGTCGGAAGTTTTGCAGGTTAACCAATCAGAAGTCAGTTGGGTAGTAGTGCATAACCTATGAAATATAATCAATAAAAATGTCCACATATATATTGAAGTTAATAAATTCAATTAATAAATCATTACTTATTATTTTAATTAAATTAACACACATTTATTTAACAACTTATTTATTCAACTTTGTCACTTTTGTGACTTCATAACTTGGAACCGGCAATATTTGAATGTCAAGATTTATATGAATATTAGTTGAAATCTAAATCCTAATAATTACCTGATTTTGCTTTTGATTTTCTCCCAGTTTCCTGATAGATGACAGCCTCTATTTACTGAACACAGAGAAGCTGGGGGTTAAAGTTGAGTAGGAGGAGCGGAGCGCCTCTTCATCGCTCACAGAAGCCGCTCCGCCTCCCAGATGACGCTCACCACACCTCTGACTCGCATCAAAGTACACTTTGTTTACATTTTCTTTATTTGACATCCATATTTGTTTTACTCTACCTTTCACTGCCATGGGTATTACAGTCTTATCACAACTGCACATTTTGAGACGCGTTCAAGGGGGGAAATACTTGAAAAGAGAAAGAAATGCCTGAAACAAATGAATGAAACGAATCCCTTCACCTCTGAGAGAGAAAACTGCAGCATCAAAAATGGCGGCAGGTTGGTTTTATCAGCGCTGTGCCTGAAATGGGCCGCTGGACTCAGAGCGGTTCCCTCATATGGAGGCGCTGATTGTTCTGGAAAGGCGGGGAAGGCCGTTCCAGCTGACTGCTTTTTTTTTTCTCACTGTCACACCTTCACTTTTGTGCCTCTCTTGTTTCCATAGCTACTTTTGTTTGCTCTTGTTTCTGTTTTTTATCATCTGCCTTGTTTGATTTTGACCAGTTTTTATTTTGATCTTTTTTATTATTTTTTGGTGGGATATATTGTCATTCACCTGGACTGCCTTTTAGAGTGAGGAAAGGTTGATGTCGAAGAACAAAAAGGAAAGCAAGTTGCTGTGAATTTTACCAAATTCTGTGGTTTAGATGGTGTGAATGAAACCGAGTGCTCCAGTGTTTATTTTCTGATTTATTATTTCATGTTTTTCTTTTAATTTATTGCTTCCCCACTGCAAAAACACAAAATCTTACCTAGCATTTCTAGTGCAAATATCTTAACATAAATCAACTAACAAAACTATAAGCTAGTTTTAAATGGCTTTTCAGCCAGATATAGGAGCTTATTTTGAGTAAATAAGTCTGTAATATTATTAAAACCAAACACTAGTCCCACTGTCAGATTTTTTCACTAAGATATTATTTTCTTGATAGAAGTGAAATAATTTACCAATGGAACTAATATTTTTTTCATCAATATTAAGGGATTTATGACTCAAAATAAGCTCCTAAATCTTGCTTAAAAGCCAATTATGAGTGAGTTTTGTCTTATTTCAAGTTTGCTAAACACTAGATGCCAGACCAGGGGTGTCCAAACTGTGGCCCGGGGGCCATTTCTGGTCATTGGATTGATTTTGTGTGGCACAAATTTGGACCATCCAACTCTTTTTGTAATTTTTTTAGGCTCTTTTCCACGGCAAGTTTATATCTTCTTAAACAGAAAATGTTAAGTACAACACAAACATTTTTTTATTTGAGTTATTCTTCTTTAATTATTATTTTGTTATTGCTTGTACCACAAACTTCTTGTGTGTTTTTCCTTTAAAACAGACTTCATCTAACCCATCCATTATATTTAGCTAAATACAGCAAAGGTTGTAAAAGAAAATAATTATTTTTGTTGCTGGGAATAAAATAACATTTTATAGGTTTATAAAATAGAAAAATAACACCAAAATAATAATAAATAATTATAGTTAAATAACTGTAAACAGTAAGGCAAATGTAATGCATTACATCAGGTAAAATAGAAAAAATTCACAATAATATTTTTGCATTTTTAATTGGGACGTTTCCAAACTCTCTGTGTAAAAAGTTTGGACTGCACTGTAACAGACCGGAAATACTTGGTAACATTTTGAGTTTTTGCAGTGCATGTTTCCTTCCTACATTCATGTTTGCTTCACACTTCTCCTCCGTCAGCATGCTTCTTGCAGATATTCTTTATCTTTTATTTTTTCCCATTTGAAGTGAAAGTGAACTCACTCCCTCCCACATGTGCACTTTATGAGCCGAGTGTCCGTTTAAACGCCTTTTTGTGAGACAGCGAGGAGTGCAGGTGTGTTTACATGCTGCCTTTTCTGGACATTTTGTTGTTTTTGCCATTTAAAGCCTGTTTGTGTGTAAGAGAGCGATCATCTGAACTGTGGGAGCCAAAGAAAACCTCAGATGAGCTGCTGATCAACAACTGCTTCAAAGGTTTAAAAGAAAATATTAGATCCTCTGGATGGCTGGAAGTGCCTCAACACAATAAATAAATATGTGACAACTGAAATAAAAATGAGAAAAATGCGTTGGATTCATAAAGAAACGTCTTTAAAATTAAAGTAATCGTATTGAATATCCAGAATCTTATTTTTTTCTTCTTTTTTAAATTATTTTGTATTTGTTGATCAGCGAATCATTAAATGAATTAAACTGCATTTCTATTGACAATCTAATTGTGGAATTTGATGTTTCAAAAATAAATTTCTTTAATGGGAACTTGTTTTTTGATACGTTTTGGTGAAGAGGTGATTATTAAAACATTTTTATTTATTGTTTTGAATGCATTGAAATTGGTTTATTTTACAAGACTGCAATGAAAACACTTTTTTTTTTTCAACAAATGATCAACAACCGAATGTTTCCACTGGTACAAACCATGAAGAAGAAAACGGGAAGTAGCTGGAGGATGACTGTGTGGCACAATTTTTTTAATGATTTATCACGTAAAGAGACTTATTCACATGTGATTTTATTTAAATTTCTTATGTGATGAAATTGTAAAAATGTTTTTTTCAACATTAGCTGAATATTGCCAAAGTTTTTCTCCTATTTGTAATGGAAACACAGCTACAGGAGAACTCTAACATCTGATTGGCTAACCTAAACAAGTTAATTTAGTGTTTATTTACCTTCTGCATCAATAAGGGACATCATTTAAGAAATCCTTAATTATCTTAAAGATTACTTAGAATTAGTAGTACTGTTTTTGTAATTATTTAATTGCTTATTTATAATTTTCTCCTTCAGTACATCAACGATGTCTCTTGAATGTGGGCGGGGCTAAAATAAGTTGAGCTGATTGGTCAAAGGTTTTGTAAGTCAACCAATCAGACGTCAGTTGGATAGTAGTGCTTAACCTATGAAATATAATCAATAAAAAAGTCCACATTTATTTATTTAACAGCTAAGTTACTGATAAAATTGTCACTTTTGTGAATCCATAACTTGGAACCAACAATATTTGAATGTCGAAATTAAAGAAATTTATATAAATATTTGTTGAAATCAAACTTTATTCAAAATATACAGATGTATTTGTGAAATTATAAATAAATAGTAAAACAAAAAACTCAGTTTTTAAAGGTGAAAACCCTGGAAGCAGCTCTGAGGTAATTCCCATACGTCATCTCGGTCTTCCTCAGTTGTAAACGCGTCTCTTTGCTGCCCCCTGCCTGCTGCCCTGTGCAACATCACCTCTTCCACTGAGCGCACTTTCAACAACCTCATATCAGATATTTGACCAAAACACTATAAAAATATGGATGTGGTTTTAATAAAAAGTGTTTGTTGATAAGAAACAGAGTTGTGTTTTTATTCTGTAAATAATTAGGAACTGTTGATTGTTGATTAATGGTGAGATTCTGGCTGAACTTTACAAAGACGGTAAGTTTAAAATGCTTTAATAAGTGCGATTTCTCTATTTATTGATTTTATTTCTATAAATATAAAAAATTATAAAGGTGATGCATGATCATTTAAGCAAATTAAAATATAATTCAAAAGTTACTTCAGTAATTCTGTTCAAAACGTAAACATATCAAACAGATTTAATAACTGATATAATCCATGTGTTTATTCTGGCTTACAGAAAATAAAAAAATTAAACTGATTGGAATATTACATAAGACAAATAAAAAGGCATTTTAGTGGCTTACAGGAAATATATGCATTTATTTATATGGTTTAACGAGTAATTCAGCATTTGGAGTCCATATTTTTAAGCTCAACTCTTTGCTTCACAGTCCTCTCTGTTGTTTCTTTTTTCTGCTTTTGCAACTTTTCCTTTTAAAATAAGCATGCTTTTTCCTTCCACTGAACTTCCCATTAATATGCTAGGATACATTAACATGTAAACAACCAGCTTCTTTAGCGCTTGTTAGTGTCAGCAACAACTTTTTCTAAGCCAAAGGAAACAAAATTAACACAAAATAACTCTTGACATGTCTCACTTTGAATCTGAATAATACACAAATGTCCATTTTTGAATTTAATTACTGGAATAATTTCAATGATATTTGAATGCTTTTACCCCTGTAACTAACATGAAAACATTAAATGTTATTCAATGCTGACATTTCTGTTGAAGTGGTAGAGCTGTTGCCTTGCAGCAAGAAGGTTCTGGGTTCGATTCCCGGCCCCGGTCTTTCTGCCTGGAGTTTGCATGTTTTCCCTGTGCATGGTTGGGTTTTCTCCGGGTACTCCAGCTTCCTCCCACAGTCCAAAAACATGACTATCAGGTTAATTGGTCTCTCTAAATTCTCCCTAGGTGTGTGTGTGTGCATGGTTGTGTGTCCTGTCTGTCTCTGTGTTGCCCTGCGACAGATTGGCGACCTGTCCAGGGTGACCCCACCTCTCGCCCAGAACGTTAGCTGGAGAGGCACCAGCACCTTCTGACCCCAATGAGGGGAAAGGGTGTACAGAAAATGGATGGTTGGATTTCTGTGGAAATTTTAAAAGTTTAGTCTGTGATTCTTCCTGTTATCAACTCAGATGTTTTATAAAGTTTGTTTATTTAGCATATAAAATTTTATATATAAAATGTTCTACTTACTTGGGATTTATTTACTTAAAACAATCTCCTGTATCCTTTTGAAAAACTACATGTAAGTTAGTTTGTCTTAATTCAAGAGAACTAAGATAATTAGACTAGAAACAAGGCAAAAATACTTGGTAAAATTTTGTGTTCAAAGATGATAAATTATTTAATTTCTCAGAAAAACAGCTGACCTTATGTGAAAAAGTAATTGAATGCTAAAGCTGCTTTCCCCCCACTCTTCCTGGCAGAATTGGTTTCATATTCAAGCAATAGTAACCTGATCACTGCAAGAAATACAAATCTTATCAAGTGTTTTTCGTCTAGTTTCTAGTGAAAATATCTTAATACGACAAAAAAAAGACAAAACTATCTTACAAAAAACTTTTTGTTTTAAGTGAATAACTTAATATTGATGAAAAAGTGCTAGTTCCTCTTGCAGATCACTTGCTTTACACTTGGCCGTTACCTAGCAACTCCTGCCAAGCTCAGCCCGTCGCCTAGCAACCGAATTCTAGTGCCACTGGCAGATTATTTAACTTATAACAAAAACATTTTTTATTTTCTTAAGCGGATCTAGAACGTTTTTCTCAATATTAATGAGATATTTACACAAAACAAG